AAATTGAGAGCGTTAAACTTTTGCTTAATCATGGGCCAATGTTGATCTTGTTGATGATGCTGGGTACACGCCACTGCTCTGTGCTGTTATGGCGTGACATGTCAAGTTGCGCTTTTGGTTGATTGCCCATGGGGCCCAGAGCCAATGTAAAAAGTCTTAAACGTTTGGTTCCTCTGAATTTGGATGTTTTAAGAATCATGCTTCTCTTACTCTGCTTGCTCAACTTTGTGTCATGAGGCAAGAAGAACTTGAATCGAATTTGTAAATACGTTCGCGATTTTCTAACTGTATAATGGAGTCCAATTACTGTCAGCTTGTGTATTGAGGATCGAACTGAAATTTTGCTTTGATGTTCTTGCTTAGTATCGGGTTTCATATGAGAAATGTTGTGGAAAGTTTTAATTTTAGGCATTTCATTTTGGCTAATCTATAGCGAATATGTTTATTTAGCATTTCTTCACCTTCATAACTTCATTTAGCTTGCAACTCCAAATCTTTGGTGGATTTTATCATTTTAATAGATTTAATATTTTGCCCAGAATGGCGTGCCGTAATGTTGTGTTAATGGGTGCTAAAGCCCGAAGGGGCATATGACCCATTACAAGGGAAAATTTTGCGGATATTTTTATGTATCCAAAGTGTTGCAGTTATATTTTAGAGATCACATAAGAACTATGGAATCATAGATATTATACGTAAGGTATAGTTTAATAATGCCAAAAGTGAAATCCATATAATGTAGCATTTAATTGTATTGAGCATTAGTGTGGATTTGGAAACACAAAACGGAGGTAGCAATTTAGCAACGGATTTAGCGAGATGTATTGACTCCCTGCAGGCTATGTATCAAATTAAAGATGCCTCACTTCTTAAAAACATAAATATATTTTTTTGTCCTTAAACACTCAATAAATTCTATGATTTTTTTTATTTTTTTTTATAACATAATGTCTAGACCAACTTGTGTGATAGTAGATGAACCCTATGTGGTTTGAACTTTAATCCAAAAATCATAAAATGAGCAAATGTTTTTTACTATCAGGCCAACCCCTTACAATTTATAAATTCTATGAATGCTCTTAAAATTTAGAAATCAAATGACCAAATTAAGTCTTGAAAATAATTAAAACCGAAAGAAAGAAGAAAAATCTTCATAAATAATTGGACTCATGTGAGTCATGTTATTGATTGGGATAGTTAGTTGTAGGTTTATAGCCTTTTAAGAACATTGTTAAAAATAGGGTAATGATATTATAAACTACATGACATGTCACGTGACATTAGGGGACCATATAACTAATGTCATGTAGGTCTTTATGTCTTGTGACACTTGGTTTACCTCATCAGTTGTATAAACTTTCTTTGTACACGTAGCTTTACCCTAAAAAATAAGCCTAGAATTGGGATCTACGAGTATGGATGCTGAAAATACTAAAATTAAAGATATAACTTATTTTTCAGAAAATAATTACAACCTTAAATTTTATAGCTTTATATTGTTGGTATAACATGTCTATTTTCAAGCAAACTTATTTCTTCATTAAAAATACTTTTTTTTTTTTTTAAGTTTTCAAAAATATTTTAGCAAAGTACGGTTTGAATAAGATATTAAGAATTTTAAGGTTTGTATATAATAAGAGGGATGTCAAAATTGCTTATAAACATCTTTAATGATGTTCTTTATTTTTAAAGAGCATTTTTATATAAATAAAAAGATCTTCATTTATTTCTAAATATAAAGAATACATTTTTTATTAAAATCCAATCGACTTTTTAAATTTAATGAAGATACTTTTTATTTTCAAGAAAAACTTAAAAAGAGAGATAATTATAAATAAAATGCATGAAAACTTGTAATTTATTAATTAAAATTAGGTTAAAGAGTGAAATTTGATTTTCTAGATGTAGAGAGTCACATTCATTATTTAATTTATATTTATGAGTTTTTTAAACCTTGTTTTTATAGAGAGATATTTTATAATAAGAGTTTTGATCATATAAATATTTTTTTGAAAGTGGCCTAATAAAAATAATTTAAAAGTAAATTTAATTTAGGACTTCATTACAGGCAGGTGATTTGGGCCGCGATATAACAAAATGGCCTGTGATTCGTTTGATTTTCTTTCTAAAACGACATCGTAGACAAACGGAAATTAGTAGAAGGTCAGTAGTTCAAAAATTTTATTTCCCGCTCAAATCTTTTGTCAACAAGAAAACCCTGCCTAGCCACGCTGGCAATCTGTCTAAAACGAGAAACCACGAAAAAAACCACTCTTTTTAGACACGTCACCACCCATCCGCGAGAATCCCAAACTACCATCAGAATGCATCCTTATGCTCTATTTAAACGAAAAGAACAGAGCCACTCTCACAGGGCCTTTCAAACTCTTCAACGTACTCACTCCCCTTCTTCAGCCAACATCTTGAAAAGAAAAAAACTACTATGAGTTCACAAGGAGCATTAACGAGGGCGGTAGAGGCAAGTCCAAGAACACCAATCGGTGAGTCGATCACATAAGGCTGGCCTCCAGTTTCCGTTGGCCGAGTCGCTCGCTTCCTCAAGAAAGGCCGATATGCGCAGCGTGTTGGATGTGGCTCTCCAGTCTACCTCTCTGCTGTTCTCGAGTATCTCGCTGCTGAGGTATTCGCATATTTCTTCTATTGTATTTGTTTTGTAAAATTCTGTTGTATAACTTGTATTTGTTGACGATTAAGCGGTTTGCTTTTTTATGGTGTCTCTAGGTTCTGGAGTTGGCTGGGAATGCAGCGAGTGATAACAAGAAAACAGGATTATACCTAGGCACATTCATTGGCCGTTAGCAACGATGAGGAGTTGAGCAAGTTGATGGGGTCCGTGACAATTGCAAATGGAGGTGTTTTGCCGAATATTCATCAGAATCTGCTGCCTAAGAAAGTTGGGACCAAAAAGGGAGAGATCGGATCTGTCTCTCAGGAGTTTTAGGGATTACAAGAATAGTTTAGGTTGATTTTGTTGATAAGCATGTAGTGAAAGTTGGATTTCATTCTTCAATGTGTAAATTTCATTTTGGACTAATGAGTAAAAATCTCATCTTTCTTTTCATTTTTTATAATTATTGGATCTGTTTGGAATGTTAAGCTTTAGTGCATGCCTTGATGATATACATATATATTAACATTATCTCGTTAATTACAATTATATTTGAGTTTTTCTGAAATTTGAAGGATTGCATAGCAACAATGTTGTGTCAAATTAATTGGGGTATTAGATTTTAATAAAAGAAGATTGTTGAAACTATATTAAAAAGTTAAAAATTTGTGTTAACTACAGGTTAGAATGAATATCAAATTGCAATCGGCAAAGGGAGCCCTTAAAGCAACTAAGCAAGTTAAATCAATTGGAATTTCTTGATACTGAATTTACAAATTATTATTTGTTTTAATTTTGAGGTTTTGGTTTTAGGACATTTATTTCCTTGTAAAATGACCAAAATGTTCCCTATTTATTGAGATATTTTTCAAAATGAAATTTTTAAGCTAGATTTATTGGCTTTAGTTAACTTTTATCGTCTTATAATAGTTTTTCCTAAATTGTACAAGGATATCGATAAAGCCAGATTCATCCATATTATTTTTATACGTTCAATGAATTATTTAAGTTTTAATGGTATTTTTATATAGAATAAAGTCAATAAACATTAACTGTAATCATAAATTTCATCAAATTTTTCTTATTATTTTCCCAAAGCCTTAAAAATGAATTTTCGACAAAATACTTCACTTGTATATCTTTATATTTTAAATTTGGTCACAGTATATCACTTAGTGTGCGTTTGGTTTAGGGAATGTTAGAGTACTGGAAAATTATATTACCTTGAAGATTATTAAGAAAATGTGTTATATTAATATGTTTGGTTGGGATAAATAAATTAGTGGGTATTTTATTTAAATTATTAAATTACCCTCTTTTTAAATATTAATATAATATTATTTTTTGAATAATTTTTTTAACCTCTAACATTTCAGATTTAGCTAAAACATCTGCGCTTATATAAAATTTTAATTTATAATAAAATCACCCCCATCATCCCAAGCCATCGCCATTCACCGTTGGCAATCGCTGGAAGTCGCCTGGAGTTGCTGTGAGTAGCTTAGAGGCTCTGATGTAACCGTTTCTTACCATATTGATGGCAAAAAATGTCATATTGGAGTAGATCTTGCTGGAAATGGTCAAATCTATTTTGACAATTTTCAGCTAGATCGATGGATCTGTCCATTAACAACCAGATCCATGACTTTTAACGGCTAGATCTATTTCGACCAGATCCATGGCCATATCTCATCCAGATATGGCTGATAAAGGCCATGAATTTGGCTGAAAACGAACATATCGAAGCCTCTCAGTGATGGTAGACTACTCACGGTGATTTTCAGCTTCTTTCGGTGACTTCTAGTGGCAACCGACGGTGGTTTGGCCAGCGACAAGTGGGTAAGGGTGTTGGCTTGGGTGAGCTAAAATTTGTTTTGAATTCAAGGGTAATTTTGTCAAAAAAGTTAATTAATTGGGGTGAAATAATAAGAGCCATATTCATATAAAGTAATTTTAAAATAAGGGTATTATTGTTCTAAAATTTTATTAATAAGGGATAGAATTGTAACAAAAATAAAATTACATTAGTAATCTTATAATATTTAAAAAAATAGAGGTCATCAGATTACTTCAAATATTACCAATAATAACTATTATTAGTATTAAAAGATTACGATAAGACAATTAAATTTTATAATCAACTAATATAAAATAACTTAACTCTAGGATCACGTAACCCCGACAAAACGCCAGTTTTCACGCTATTGGAACACGTCACGTGCAAATTTTGTCTAATAAATAATAAATAAAAAGAATTTACAGGCTGGCAATCTACGGAGCGTCATGTCCACCAATCAAAATAGACTACGTGTTTTCTCTCTTCTATATATAAATCGATTTCCCCTCCGGGAGTCTACCGTCTTCACAACAAGAAAAAGAAATAAGGATTGTCATCCTGACAATGAGTTCAACAGGATCAACGAAAGGTGGCAGAGGCAAGCCCAAGTCCTCAAAATCCGTGTCCAGATCTCAGAAGGCCGGTCTCCAGTTTCCTGTCGGCCGTATTGCTCGTTTCCTTAAAGCTGGAAAGTACGCCGATCGTGTCGGTGCCGGTGCTCCCGTCTACTTGTCGGCCGTTCTTGAATACCTTGCCGCTGAGGTTAGTTTCTGTTTCATTTTGTTCTTATATATCTTTGATTGTTTTGAAAAATGTTATAGAAAATGGTGGTCTTTTTTAATGTTGGGATTTTATTGTTTGGGGGATGTTTATATTTTTTATTTTCGTTTTTTTTTCTTCGCATTGTGGGATCGTAGGAATTGGTTGCCTATGCCATTCGCCAGTTTTCGATCTTGGTTTGCTTTTTTCTATGAGAAGAAAATGGAGAAGCCGTAATTGAAAATACTCCACCGGAGCTTTGATTTTACAACGTAGAAATTCGGTTCTGGAAACTTTTTTAGTTTTTAGTTTTTTTAAAATTGAATTCTTAATACTTTAATGATTACAAACGAAGGGAAATCGAAATTATAACAGCTTTTTTGTTAGAATAATTAACAACTTGAAACGTTCTTTTAAAGTTATGGTCTGATTCATGTTTCGTCCATATCAGGTTCTCGAGCTTGCTGGTAATGCTGCAAGGGATAACAAGAAGAATCGTATTGTCCCGAGGCACATTCAACTTGCTGTGAGGAATGATGAGGAATTGAGCAAGCTTTTGGGCACTGTCACCATTGCAAATGGAGGTGTTTTACCGAACATTCATCAGACTTTGCTACCCAAAAAGACGGGGAAAGGAAGAGACGATGTTGGTGCTTCACAAGAATTTTAAAGTGTTAATGGTTTTGAATTCTAATATGGTAAATTGTAGGATCAATTGTATCTTTATTGCAAAGTTTTGATCGGTTTGATTACTATAAACCCTGATTTTGGGTATTTTTTGGCCTCAATTTTGCTGAAACAATAACTTTGTTATGTGATGTTGCTATTCATACCATCAATGAAATGAAAAGCTTACGAAGTTTTGTGTTTTCGGTTATATAGCTTTATTCGTGCGAATAATTTGATGAGAGCTTGCGTTTGCTTGCCATACATTGCCTTTGGGAAAGTACAATGAAGCACTTCCAGTTCTCCATTGTTGTCTGTGGTGTTTTTAGAAGTTTGGCCATGCTTTCCATTGATTGGCATAGTTGTTGAAGCTCTTTGACAGGGTTGTACCCTCAATTTTAACACTCAAAATCGTTCAATTTCATGGCATTTTTCTGTGATTGGGACTTGCGTAACCTTGAACAACTTTATCACTGCAATTTTTTGATCAAGTACAACGAGTCTGAGCATTGGGTATTCTAAATACCTTGGCTTATTACTTCACGATTTATATTTTATATGTAGATAGTGATTTCATGAGGGGATGTAGCTCAAATGGTAGAGCGCTCGCTTTGCATGCGAGAGGTACAGGGTTCGATCCCCTGCATCTCCAAGTTGCTTTTAATTTCTCTTCGACTTGAACGCCAAGTACTTTATCTAATTTTTTTTTCTAAACTTTTTCAGTGGCGGTTNGCATAGATCTTGCTCCTTTTATGAACTAAAACACTGACGGGATCTCGTATTGAGCCAAACAAGCCTCCCAAATTTTAACTTGGGCCGACCAACTTAAAAAATGGCCCAACTTTCCAAGAAGAAATAGGTCCTGTTAATTTCTATTTTAACTATGTTTTTGTAAGAACAAAACTTAAACCAGGGTTAGAATCATCCTTTAATTTGTAATGTAAATCTGCAACAAAGGTCAGAGGCTGAAGTGCGCTTCATCGACACAACAAATAAAAATAAAAATGTGATGACTGTTTCATTAATGCTTCCATGTGAATGTCAATTAAGATAACAACATGGTAGGATTATTATTGTTCACAAAATGATTTTAAAATTTCGTTCTTTTATTACTGTTTAAAGTACTAGTCACGTGGCAATTTTAATTTACTGTATAGTTTCAATTTTCTTTTACCATTTTTACGCAAAACAATTTTCTAGCCATGCAGTATGAAATCTTTATGTGAGTTTATAAAGCATCTATCTACATTTGAGTTTTCTCAAAATCATTGATGGTGCTCCACCACCATAATGCTTTTTATTGAATTTCTCAAATATATAACATATTCTGTTTGCTGCAGTTATCTTTGATCAGACAACTAGACAAGTTTGTCTGTCATCTCATCCCCTTTCAAAGTTAAGATCCTGTCTAGTCCATCAGTGAATTTGCCGCAACTATCAGATGATATTATTGAAAACCTTTTTATCAATTGGGAAGTACTTGCTTTTTCCATGGAGAGGATGCACAAAGGATGGATCCAAAAAGGGTGTAACAGACTCAACATTAGCTAAACCACAAAGGGAAAGGAGTTGGCAATGTGAAAATGATTTAGCGTGGTGTATTTACTACACTGTAAATTATGCATTTATAAGTCACATAATATGCATAACGGCAAAAGCTGATTGAATATCTCTCATTATATATAATATTCTCTCTGAATATGATGGTTTATTAACTATTACTATAAAAATAAAAGGTTTTTTTTTTTTTTTAAATAATGTTTCAAATAACAGAGTTTGATGTGACTCATAATCGCAATTTGTATTGCTTTATAGTTCAGTCATTTGTAATTTGGGGACTATCTTTTAAATCGATTGGGCAATCAAACATTTTGCCGGTAGAGTTAAAAGTGACTTTAGCATTGGACTATATTATTCACAACTTGGCACTATAAAAATTTCTGTGTTCTATGCCACTCTTTCAGTTTAAATTACGCCAATTAAAAGGCCAAACGTTCAAAAATGCATTTGGTTGTTCTTCATGATATTATATGTTCTGGTTTTTTAATAGATGGAAGAATATAATATGAATTTATTGCATAGATTAGGATTGGGACTTGGGACTAATCTATCTTGAGTTGAGATGTCTTTTACTGTTAAGGAAGTATGAACTTAAAAGCAGTCCAACAAAATCATTTTTATGTAAAATTTTCACTTCCACAAGATAATAAAAACTTAAAAGTAATACTACATATACCAAATATGAAATTTTTGTATCAAAGAATATGACAGTTAGTTAAAACTCAAACGTAATTATATTAGAGTCTTTTGTAAATGAACGGTCATCTAAAATTTATAAACGTTTATTCATATTTAATAGATTCCTATTTTACTGTGAGATGAACGCCCGTTCAACCAATTTTGAAACCAAAACAATGGACACCCGTCCTTTTGGCTGCTTCATTTTTATTTGTCTGTTGCTAAATTCACTATTCCTTTTTGCTTGTCCTCTTCCCCAATTCAATGCAATTTTTAATTTTATATTACACTATTACCACAGCATTCAGCTCGCTCTTATTTAATACCAACTCAATTAGGATTGAAAATTAATGTATTAAATAAATTTAAAATTTATTAATATTAAAAGATGAACGCCCACCCTCCCACGAGGACGATGTATATAAATAATTTAGATTAAATTTTTTTAGTTTAAATTATGAACAGATATCTATTCTAAGTGAATGGTCATCCATTTAAAATATAGATAAGAGTTTATTTCAAATAAACGATCGTCCAATAATAATGGATGACTGTTCATATTGGATGGATGGTTGCTCATTCATAAAATATTTGTTAATGTGATATGTGATTTGTCTGATTTAGTGAACACGTCGTTTGATATAAAAATTTAATATAAAGTATCGGTGTTTATAGCATTATTCAAAACTTAAATACAACAAAATATGTGAAATAATTAGTGAAATAAATCCCAAGAGATTGGTCAGATGGTTAAAAAGATTTGTTTCATTCATTAATTTTTTAGATTTAAACCTTAAGATTATTTATTATATTTGTAATTTATTTTAAAATATTAAATTTGTATGATATTAAATGAGTCTTAAAACTAGTAGAGATGCGTCCAAATGGACTCAAAAACTCGTCATTAAAAAAAAAAATAGTGAATTGGTAATTTTTTTCATTTATGTCAACATCTAGTTTTGGGTAATTACAATAATACTTTTTTTTTTTTTTTTTTTGGGTTAATCCATCGGTACTTAAGAACTGACAAGACATCCTATGAAATATGATTTGAGTGTTTTCAATAACAAACAAGCAGCAAGTTTAACAGTATTACGCAATGAACCCAGGAATCATTAATTAAAGTAATGATGAGTAGTAATATTCAGTAAATAAAAGCAGAGGAATGTCTTTTATGGGTACAAACATCCAAGAAATGGGCCATGAGAAAACATGATATAACCTCTTTTGAATTATAATATCAATAATGCTAAAGCTACCGAGTCAACAACCGATTTGACATACTGACTTTTGGTGAATTGAGATAAATTTTGAGAAGTCAATAATTGGGCAGTGGATCGGTATAGCAAAATCGGTAATCTAATCAGTAAGTGTAGCAAGGTCCTTATAATATAATCTTTCGAATCACAACCACAGACATTACTCATTATTCTAATAGCAATTGGTTGTCGTAAATGTCCAAGGAACCTAAACAAAATGTCCCAACTTAAATCAGCCAAGTCACATACTAAGTGAACATCTGATATAGCATTGGCCTAATTGATCTATAAATTATGAAAAATCCCCCCTTTCTCAAGTCATGACAGTGATGCCTGACAAAACTGTATCCTTTTCCTTTCTTTGTTTCTTCTTTTAATAAGAAATAATTAAAGAGGGCTGTTGGGCAATCAAAACGACTGCTCTCAATAAATCACATCATGCTTAAACCATTTGGTGTTCATGTCAAACTACTAAAAGGATATATATGGGGAAGTCTTTCCCCAGAGTCTGCAATATTTAATTCCATCAAAGACCACATCCTGATAAACATTGGTGTCTGTGGTATTAAATCTTATAACTAGGAACAACAAATGCGGTAGAAATCAACTGTTTTTAAGTCAAGCAAATTATTGCCAGTGCTTTTCTATATTATACCCAGAATTCTAGTACAACTACTCCATTCATGGATTGCTGAGCTTGACAATCCAATATATATGCTTGAGCAAAATGGTCTCACTCTTAATTTAAAGAACAATTTATTAGAAAGTTGGAGTAGTTGATCTTTCATCAATTCAATACGCAATAAAAAGTACCTGTTTGTCGTCCTCCTCGATAAAGTAATACTCCATATTCAAAGTTCAAACACCCCAACAATGACTTATTCTACATCCTCTCCTTGTCAAAGTCCCCACCTCCCCTTCTCAGCCAAACCTAAACCAATTATTCAACATTAAACAAAACCTCCAATAAATATATGTATGTATATTATTTATCATCAATAATAAACAATTGAAACAAATTACTAGAAGACCTTCCCACCGTCCTTCATCTTCTTCAATTCCTTCATTCAATTTTTGTTTCCATCAAGACTGTCATGGATAGGTTGGTGAAGGCAGATGTTAAAGAAGTAGAAATAGCCTTCAAAAAGGGCCAAAAGTGCAACACAAGTTTTCGTTTAACCAATTTGATGCACACCATGTCTGTTGCAGTTTCTTTAACCACAACAAACCCATCTCTCTTCTCTTTTAATCAGCTTTACTCCATAATTCCACCACTCTCTTCTTCATCATATACTCTGATCCTCTCTCAGCCGTCCGATCAACCCGCTCTCTCTTTTCCCCCTCATGCCATCACTGTCAAATCTTCGATGCTTCCGACGGGCAAAGCCCACCAGGACGATCTCCGCCGTCTGTTCTCCAAACCTGGTCCACATGTATTTAAAGACGCCACGATTCCCATCTCTTTTGTGGGTCCCCACGTGATTGAGTTTCTCATCTCTCAACATACGCAAATCCCAGAACTCAATTCCATTTTCAACAAAGCAGTTTCTGCTTGCACTGGGTACCAGCTCTCTGTGTTACTCAAATCCGCCGTCGTGTCAGGAAATGAAAACTTGGTCACGAATTTGATCGATAATGGTGCAGATGTGAATTACAAAGATTCTGATGGACGGTCCATGATTTCTTTAGCGGTTAAGAGGGGCCATAGCGATGTTGTTAAGTTGTTGATTGCTTCAGGCTGTAAAGCCAGTGATTCAATTGTTCACGTATTACACGATGCAGCCGCAATGAATAGAGTTGACTTAATGGAGGTTTTGATCTCTGCTTTTGGTAATACCATCGATGTGAATTCGGTTGATTCAAGTGGGCGAACCCCAATTCACATCGCAGCGAGTAAAGGACACGCTCAGGTGATTCAGTTTTGTGCGTCTCTTGCAGAAGCTCAAACTGTTGTTTTTGATAAAACCGGGTCAACTCCGCTTCACTTAGCAGCCGAAAATGGTCGTTTAGAAGCTGTTAAGTGTTTGTTAGATTGTTCGGAATATGTTAAATACATACTTAACAAAGAGGGAAAGACTGCTTTTACAGTTGCAGTTGAGAACGGTCACACGCATCTTTACGATTTGCTGCAACTGGGTGATGTGTTGCAACGTGCAGCAAGAGTGGAGGATATTCATGGATTGAAGAGTTGCCTCGCAGAAGGGGCTAAGGTTAATGGAAGAGATCAAAATGGATGGACACCGTTGCATAGAGCGGCGTTTAAGGGTAAAATTGAGAGCGTCAAACTTTTGCTTAATCATGGGGCCAATGTTGATCTTGTTGATGATGCTGGGTACACGCCACTGCTCTGTGCTGTTATGGCGGGACATGTACAAGTTGCGCTTTTGTTGATTGCCCATGGGGCCAGAGCCAATGTAAAAAGTCTTAAACGTTTGGTTCCTCTGAATTTGGATTGTTTTAAGAATCATGCTTCTCTTACTCTGCTTGCTCAACCTTTGTGTCATGAGCAAGAAAGAACTTGAATCGAATTTGTAAATACGTTCGCGATTTTCTAACTGTATAATGGAGTCCAATTACTGTCATCTTGTGTATTGAGGATCGAACTAAAATTTTGCTTTGATGTTCTTGCTTAGTATCGGGTTCATATGAGAAATGTTGTGGAAAGTTTTAAATTTTAGGCATTTCATTTTGGCTAATCTAGTAGCGAATATGTTTATTTAGCATTTCTTCACCTTCATAACTTCATTTAGCTTGCAACTCCAAATCTTGTGGTGGATTTTATCATTTTAATAGATTTAATATTTTGCCCGAGAATGGGCGTGCCGTAATGTTGTGTTAATGGGTGCTAAAGCCCGAAGGGGCATATGACCCATTACAAGGGAAAATTTTGCGGATATTTTTATGTATCCAAAGTGTTGCAGTTATATTTTAGAGATCACATAAGAACTATGGAATCATAGATATTATACGTAAGGTATAGTTAATAATGCCAAAAGTGAAATCCATATAATGTAGCATTTAATTGTATTGAGCATTAGTGTGGATTTGGAAACACAAAACGGAGGTAGCAAGTTAGCAACGGATTTAGCGAGATGTATTGACTCCCTGCAGGCTATGTAATCAAATTAAAGATGCCTCACTTCTTAAAACATAAATATATTTTTTTGTCCTTAAAACACTCAATAAATTCTATGATTTTTTTTTTTTTTTTTGGGTTAGTCCATCGTTACTTCAGAACTGACAAGACACCTATGAAAATGATTTGAGTGTTTCAATTACAACAAAGCAGCAAATTTAACAGTATTACGCAATGAACTCAGGAATCATTAATTAAAGTAATGATGAGTAGTAATATTCAGTAAATAAAAGCAGAGGAATGTCTTTATGGGTACAACATCCAAGAAAAGGGCCATGAGAAAAGATGGTATAAGCTCATTTGAATTATAATATATCTTTTGAATCACAACCACAGACATTACTCATTATTCTAATAGCAATTGGTTGTCGTAACTCGTAAATGTCCAAGGAACCTAAACAAAGTCCACTTAAATCAGCCAAGTCACATACTAAGTGAACATCTGATATAGCATGGCCTAATTGATCTATAAATTATGAAAATTCCCCCCTTTCTCAAGTCATGACAGTGATGCCTGGCAAAACTGTATCTTTTCCTTTCTTTGTTTCTTCTTTAATAAGAAATAATTAAAGAGGGCTGTTGGCAATCAAAACGACTGCTCTCAATAAATCACATCAGCTTAAACCATGGTGTTCATGTCAAACTACTAAAAGCACATATATGGGGAAGTCTTTCCCAAGATTCTGCAATATTTAATTCCATCAAAGACCACATCCTGATCACATTGGGTTCTGTGGTATTAAATCTTATAAAGGACAACAAGTGCAGTAGAAATCAACTGTTTTTAAGTCAAGCAAATTATTGCCAGTGCTTTTCTATATTATAACCAGAATTCTAGTACAACTACTCCATTCATGGATTGCTGAGCTTGACAATCAATATATTGCTGAGCACTGCTCCTTTTATGAACTAAAACACTGACGGGATCTCGTATTGAGCCAAACAAGCCTCCCAAATTTTAACTTGGGCCGACCAACTTAAAAAATGGCCCAACTTTCCAAGAAGAAATAGGTCCTGTTAATTTCTATTTTAACTATGTTTTTGTAAGAACAAAACTTAAACCAGGGTTAGAATCATCCTTTAATTTGTAATGTAAATCTGCAACAAAGGTCAGAGGCTGAAGTGCGCTTCATCGACACAACAAATAAAAATAAAAATGTGATGACTGTTTCATTAATGCTTCCATGTGAATGTCAATTAAGATAACAACATGGTAGGATTATTATTGTTCACAAAATGATTTTAAAATTTCGTTCTTTTATTACTGTTTAAAGTACTAGTCACGTGGCAATTTTAATTTACTGTATAGTTTCAATTTTCTTTTACCATTTTTACGCAAAACAATTTTCTAGCCATGCAGTATGAAATCTTTATGTGAGTTTATAAAGCATCTATCTACATTTGAGTTTTCTCAAAATCATTGATGGTGCTCCACCACCATAATGCTTTTTATTGAATTTCTCAAATATATAACATATTCTGTTTGCTGCAGTTATCTTTGATCAGACAACTAGACAAGTTTGTCTGTCATCTCATCCCCTTTCAAAGTTAAGATCCTGTCTAGTCCATCAGTGAATTTGCCGCAACTATCAGATGATATTATTGAAAACCTTTTTATCAATTGGGAAGTACTTGCTTTTTCCATGGAGAGGATGCACAAAGGATGGATCCAAAAAGGGTGTAACAGACTCAACATTAGCTAAACCACAAAGGGAAAGGAGTTGGCAATGTGAAAATGATTTAGCGTGGTGTATTTACTACACTGTAAATTATGCATTTATAAGTCACATAATATGCATAACGGCAAAAGCTGATTGAATATCTCTCATTATATATAATATTCTCTCTGAATATGATGGTTTATTAACTATTACTATAAAAATAAAAGGTTTTTTTTTTTTTTTAAATAATGTTTCAAATAACAGAGTTTGATGTGACTCATAATCGCAATTTGTATTGCTTTATAGTTCAGTCATTTGTAATTTGGGGACTATCTTTTAAATCGATTGGGCAATCAAACATTTTGCCGGTAGGGTTAAAAGTGACTTTAGCATTGGACTATATTATTCACAACTTGGCACTATAAAAATTTCTGTGTTCTATGCCACTCTTTTAGTTTAAATTACGCCAATTAAAAGGACAAACGTTCAAAAATGCATTTGGTTGTTCTTCATGATATTATATGTTCTGGTTTTTTAATAGATGGGTGAATATAATATGAATTTGTAGCATAGGTTAGGATTGGGACTTGGGACTATTCTATCTTGAGTTGAGATGTCTTTTAACTAAAAAGCAATGTTTTAAAACCCGTCTCAACCGGTTTAACTGGGACCTGAAAGCTTCAATGAGCTGGGTTTATATATTTCCTATTCACCCAAAACCCTAGGATTTGGGAGGATGATCGGTGAACAATTGACCGCCGAGATGTTGGGGCTTTCGAAGAAAAAGTGTCGATAAATGCAATGGTGGTGACATAGTTGATTTTCGGTGAGTAAATTGACCGAAAATCGAACAAAACTAGCAACGGCAACAACTGACTTTTGCCGGCGATTGGCGAGGCTAATGGGCGTGGGGTGAGGTGGGTTTTGGTCGGGAGGAAGAATGGAGTAATTTATGGGTGATGGGGGAGGGTTGTCGATGCCGGCGTTGATGAGATATGGCTTGGAATGCCGACATTGGTGTCGGTGAGATCTGACTGAAATCGAACCTATTTCTGCCAGATCTTGAGTATATTTTAAGGGGAATTGGCTAAAGGGACGATTGGGGTTGCATTTGGGGTGTCGTCGTTGCCAACCAGTTACCGGTCGATTTGTATTGGGGTGTGTTTGCTAAATTTCAAATCTATAGAGACTTAATTGTAATTTTTAGGGGTGTATTTGCTAAATTTTAGAAGTTTTTATCAACTGGTTTGACCGCCGGTCAAACCGGTTAACCTAGGACTCGACAACTTTGCCGGGTTTCACCCCATGTTGGGTTTTAAAACATTGCTAAAAAGCAGTCCAACAAAATCATTTCTATGTAAAATTTTCACTTCCACAAGATAACAAAAACTTAAATACAACCAAATATGTGAAATAATTAGTGAAGTAGATCCTCAAGGGATTGGTTAGACGGTTAAGAAAAATATTTGTTTTATTTATTAATTTTGTAGATTCAAACATTGGGATCACGTATCACATTTGTGACTTACTTTGAAATATTAAATTTATATAATGTTCAATAAACCTTGAAGACTAATCGAGGTGCACCTAAATTGACTCAAACACTTGTCATTAAAAAAAAAATAGTGAAATGGTAAGTTTTTTTCGTTTATGTCTAACATCTATAGTTTTGGGTAACTACAATAATACTATTTTTTTTTTTTTTTTTTTTTTTTTTTTTTTTTTTTTTGGGTTAGTCCATCGTTACTTCAGAACTGACAAGACACCTATGAAAATGATTTGAGTGTTTCAATTACAACAAGCAGCAAATTTAACAGTATTACGCAATGAACTCAGGAATCATTAATTAAAGTAATGATGAGTAGTAATATTCAGTAAATAAAAGCAGAGGAATGTCTTTAGGGTACACACATCCAAGAAATGGGCCATGAGAAAAGATGGTATAAGCTCATTTGAATTATAATATAATCTTTTGAATCACAACCACAGACATTACTCATTATTCTAATAGCAATTGGTTGTCGTAACTCGTAAATGTCCAAGGAACCTAAACAAAATGTCCCAACTTAAATCAGCCAAGTCACATACTAAGTGAACATCTGATATAGCATTGGCCTAATTGATCTATAAATTATGAAAATTCCCCCCTTTCTCACGTCATGACAGTGATGCCTGGCAAAACTGTATCCTTTTCCTTTCTTTGTTTCTTCTTTTAATAAGAAATAATTAAAGAGGGCTGTTGGGCAATCAAAACGACTGCTCTCAATAAATCACATCATGCTTAAACCATTTGGTGTTCATGTCAAACTACTAAAAGGATATATATGGGGAAGTCTTTCCCCAGAGTCTGCAATATTTAATTCCATCAAAGACCACATCCTGATAAACATTGGTGTCTGTGGTATTAAATCTTATAACTAGGAACAACAAATGCGGTAGAAATCAACTGTTTTTAAGTCAAGCAAATTATTGCCAGTGCTTTTCTATATTATACCCAGAATTCTAGTACAACTACTCCATTCATGGATTGCTGAGCTTGACAATCCAATATATATGCTTGAGCAAAATGGTCTCACTCTTAATTTAAAGAACAATTTATTAGAAAGTTGGAGTAGTTGATCTTTCATCAATTCAATACGCAATAAAAAGTACCTGTTTGTCGTCCTCCTCGATAAAGTAATACTCCATATTCAAAGTTCAAACACCCCAACAATGACTTATTCTACATCCTCTCCTTGTCAAAGTCCCCACCTCCCCTTCTCAGCCAAACCTAAACCAATTATTCAACATTAAACAAAACCTCCAATAAATATATGTATGTATATTATTTATCATCAATAATAAACAATTGAAACAAATTACTAGAAGACCTTCCCACCGTCCTTCATCTTCTTCAATTCCTTCATTCAATTTTTGTTTCCATCAAGACTGTCATGGATAGGTTGGTGAAGGCAGATGTTAAAGAAGTAGAAATAGCCTTCAAAAAGGGCCAAAAGTGCAACACAAGTTTTCGTTTAACCAATTTGATGCACACCATGTCTGTTGCAGTTTCTTTAACCACAACAAACCCATCTCTCTTCTCTTTTAATCAGCTTTACTCCATAATTCCACCACTCTCTTCTTCATCATATACTCTGATCCTCTCTCAGCCGTCCGATCAACCCGCTCTCTCTTTTCCCCCTCATGCCATCACTGTCAAATCTTCGATGCTTCCGACGGGCAAAGCCCACCAGGACGATCTCCGCCGTCTGTTCTCCAAACCTGGTCCACATGTATTTAAAGACGCCACGATTCCCATCTCTTTTGTGGGTCCCCACGTGATTGAGTTTCTCATCTCTCAACATACGCAAATCCCAGAACTCAATTCCATTTTCAACAAAGCAGTTTCTGCTTGCACTGGGTACCAGCTCTCTGTGTTACTCAAATCCGCCGTCGTGTCAGGAAATGAAAACTTGGTCACGAATTTGATCGATAATGGTGCAGATGTGAATTACAAAGATTCTGATGGACGGTCCATGATTTCTTTAGCGGTTAAGAGGGGCCATAGCGATGTTGTTAAGTTGTTGATTGCTTCAGGCTGTAAAGCCAGTGATTCAATTGTTCACGTATTACACGATGCAGCCGCAATGAATAGAGTTGACTTAATGGAGGTTTTGATCTCTGCTTTTGGTAATACCATCGATGTGAATTCGGTTGATTCAAGTGGGCGAACCCCAATTCACATCGCAGCGAGTAAAGGACACGCTCAGGTGATTCAGTTTTGTGCGTCTCTTGCAGAAGCTCAAACTGTTGTTTTTGATAAAACCGGGTCAACTCCGCTTCACTTAGCAGCCGAAAATGGTCGTTTAGAAGCTGTTAAGTGTTTGTTAGATTGTTCGGAATATGTTAAATACATACTTAACAAAGAGGGAAAGACTGCTTTTACAGTTGCAGTTGAGAACGGTCACACGCATCTTTACGATTTGCTGCAACTGGGTGATGTGTTGCAACGTGCAGCAAGAGTGGAGGATATTCATGGATTGAAGAGTTGCCTCGCAGAAGGGGCTAAGGTTAATGGAAGAGATCAAAATGGATGGACACCGTTGCATAGAGCGGCGTTTAAGGGTAAAATTGAGAGCGTCAAACTTTTGCTTAATCATGGGGCCAATGTTGATCTTGTTGATGATGCTGGGTACACGCCACTGCTCTGTGCTGTTATGGCGGGACATGTACAAGTTGCGCTTTTGTTGATTGCCCATGGGGCCAGAGCCAATGTAAAAAGTCTTAAACGTTTGGTTCCTCTGAATTTGGATTGTTTTAAGAATCATGCTTCTCTTACTCTGCTTGCTCAACCTTTGTGTCATGAGCAAGAAAGAACTTGAATCGAATTTGTAAATACGTTCGCGATTTTCTAACTGTATAATGGAGTCCAATTACTGTCATCTTGTGTATTGAGGATCGAACTAAAATTTTGCTTTGATGTTCTTGCTTAGTATCGGGTTCATATGAGAAATGTTGTGGAAAGTTTTAAATTTTAGGCATTTCATTTTGGCTAATCTAGTAGCGAATATGTTTATTTAGCATTTCTTCACCTTCATAACTTCATTTAGCTTGCAACTCCAAATCTTGTGGTGGATTTTATCATTTTAATAGATTTAATATTTTGCCCGAGAATGGGTTTGCCGTAATGTTGTGTTAATGGGTGCTAAAGCCCGAAGGGGCATATGACCCATTACAAGGGAAAATTTGTCACTTCGACAATAAGTTATTGAATTTTGCGGATATTTTTATGCATCCAAAGTGTTGCAGTTATATTTTAGAGACCACATAAGAACTATGGAATCACAGATATTATACGTAAGGTATAACTAATGATACCAAAAGTGAAATCCATATAATGTAGCATTTAAATTGTATTGAGCATTAGTGTGGATTTGGAAACACAAAACGGAGGTAGCCAGTTGGCAACGGATTTAGCGAGATGTATTTACTCCCTACAGGCTATATAATCAAATTAAAGATGCCTCACTTCTTAAAACATAAAATATATTTTTTGTCCTTAAAAACACTATAAATTCTATGACTGTTTTTTTTTTTTAATAATAAGAATGTTTAGGCTAACTTGTGTGGTGGAAGATGAACTCTATGTAGTTTAAACTTTAAGTCCAAAAACTCAATAAAAGAAGTAAATTTTTTTTACTGTCAAGCCACCCCCCTTAGAATTTATAAATTCTATGAATGCTCTTAAAATTTAAGGAATCAAAGGACCAAATTAAGTGTTGAAAATAAATTAAAACTGGAAGAAAGAAAAAAAAATCTTTATAAATAATTGACTCATGTGAGTCATGTTATTGATTGGGACAGGTAGTTGTAGATTTATAGCCTTTTAAGAACAATCATTAAAAAATAGGATAATGATATTTGTACCAACTTTTAAGAATATGTGAAACATCAAATGACATGTCACATGACATTGGGCCACATGGCATTGGGGGACTATATAACTTAATGTCTTATGTCCCGTAACACTTATTTGGTTTGCCTCGTTGGTTTGTACAAACTCTCTTTATATACATAGTTTTACCCTAAAAAATAAGCCTAGAAAGTGGGATCTACGACTACGAGTATAGATGCTGTAAAGTTCTAAAATTAAAGATATAACTTATTTTTCAGAAAAGAATTGCAAACTTATAATTTTATAACTTTATATTGTTGGTATAACATGTCTATATTTTCAAGCAAAACTTATTTCTTCATTAAAAATACTTTTTTTTTTTTTTAAGTTTTCAAAAATATTTTAGCAAAGTACGGTTTGAATAAGAATATTAAGAATTTTAAGGTTTGTACATAATAAGAGGGGTGTCAAAATTGCTTATAAGAACATCTCCAATGATGTTTTTTATTTTATTGAGCATTTTTTATATAAATAAAAATGATCTTTATTTATTTCTAAATATAAAGAATAATTTTTTTATTAAAATCTAATGGACTTTTTAAATTTAATGAAGATGATCTTTATTTTTAAGAAAGAGACTTAAAATGAGAGAGAATTAATAAATAAAATGCATGAAAACCTGTAATTTATTAATTAAAATTAGATTAAAGAGTGAAATTTGATTTTTTAGATGTGGAGAGTCACACTCATTATTTAATTTATATTTAAAGGATAAAGAGTGTTGAATTCTTATTTTTATAAAAAGATTTTTTATAATAAAGAGTTTTGATCATATAAAATGTTTTTTTAATAAAAATAATTTAAAAGTAAATTTAATCTGAGGACTTCATTGTAAGCAGCTAATCTGGGCCGCGATATAACAAAATGGGCTGGTCATTCGTTTGATTTTCTTTTTAAAACGACATCGTAGACAAACGGAAATTAGTAGAAGGTCAGTAGTTCAAAATTTTTATTTCCCGCTCAATCTTTTGTCAACAAAGAAAACCCTGCCTAGCCACGCTGGCAATCTGTCTAAAACGAGAAACCACGAAACAAAAACCACTCTTTTTAGACACGTCACCCATCCGCGAGAATCCCAAACTACCAATCAGAATGCATCCTTATGCTCTATTTAAACGAAAAGAACAGAGCCACTCTCACAGGGCCTTTCAAACTCTTCAAACGTACTCACTCCCCTTCTTCAGCCAACATCTTGAAAAGAAAAAAAACTACTATGAGTTCACAAGGAGCAGTAACGAAGGGCGGTAGAGGCAAGTCCAAGAACACCAAATCGGTGAGTCGATCACATAAGGCTGGTCTCCAGTTTCCGGTTGGCCGAGTCGCTCGCTTCCTCAAGAAAGGCCGATATGCGCAGCGTGTTGGATGTGGCTCTCCAGTCTACCTCTCTGCTGTTCTCGAGTATCTCGCTGCTGAGGTATTCGCATATTTCTTCTATTGTATTTGTTTTGTAAAATTCTGTTGTATAACTTGTATTTCTTGACGATTAAGCGGTTTGCTTTTTTTGGTGTCTCTAGGTTCTGGAGTTGGCTGGGAATGCAGCGAGGGATAACAAGAAAAACAGGATTATACCTAGGCACATTCAGTTGGCCGTTAGGAACGATGAGGAGTTGAGAAAGTTGATGGGGTCTGTGACAATTGCAAATGGAGGTGTTTTGCCGAATATTCATCAGAATCTGCTGCCTAAGAAAGTTGGGACTAAAAAGGGAGAGATCGGATCTGTCTCTCAGGAGTTTTAGGGATTACAAGAATAGTTTAGGTTGATTTTGTTGATAAGCATGTAGTGAAAGTTGTATTTCATTCTTCAATGTGTAAATTTCATTTTGGACTAATGAGTAAAAATCTCATCTTTCTTTTCATTTTTTATAATTATTGGATCTGTTTGGAATGTTAAGCTTTAGTGCATGCCTTGATGATATACATATATATTAACATTATCTCGTTAATAACAATTATATTTGAGTTTTCGCGAAATTTGAAGGATTAAATAGCAACAATGTTGTGTCAAATTAATTGGGGTATTAGATTTTAATAAAAGAAGATTTTTGAAACTATATTAGAAAGTTAAAAATTTGTGTTAACTATAGGTTAGAATGAATATCAAATTGCAATGGGCAAAGGGAGCCCTTAAAGCAACTAAGCAAGTTAAATCAATCGGAATTTCTTGATACTGAATTTACGAATTATTACTTGTTTTAATTTTAGGATGAGTAAACGATATATTCCCACCAAAGGTTTGACGAAATTCTAAATTAGTATTATTAGTTCCATTTATTCTAGATTCCCACATTTAAAGTGACAGAAAAACGTTTGATGTAACGGTAAAAGGGTAAATTGGTCATTTTACATGGGCGGCGCACGTTAACAGACCATCGCCTCTAACAGTCCTCCGGCGCACATTAGCAGTTGTCGTTCCTGATGTTTTTCGCTATTTTCCGACGATTCTTCCGCCCAAAATCACCCTTGTCACCACCATTTGAACCCCCATTCTCCCCTCTACAAAATCATACCATTCACAACCCCTCATCATTTGCTGATCTTCGGCCGCGGCAACGAAAAACGGCTGATGAACACTAACTCTCGGCCGGCGAATGACGACGAAACGGTTGCTGAGGACATAGGGGTTTTATAGATTTGGATACGGCGGTTGCATTGGTGGTGTCCAATTGGATTTTCACAGCCAGAATCCGGTGAAGAACACCGAAACTCTAAGCCTAATGGTGCCGGCGATTGGAAGGGCAAATGAGTCGGGAACCAGAGGGGACTACGGGGAAGGTGATGGAGGTGACCAGGGGGTTCGACGTCGTCAGAAACAGCCCAGATCGGGCTGTTTCCGACGAGGGTGTGTAGTGATCGAGGGTGTTTTTGATATAATTTGAAAATAAAATGGTGAGTTTTGTAATTCTACTAATTTAGGGGTTAAAACATAATTTATTAATTTAGAGTTAAGGGCATTATGATAATTACACCATTTAAACCTTAAAAATTCATAACACTGTTACTTTAAGGGTGAGAATCTGGAATAAATAGAACCAATGGTACTAACTTGAGACTTCGTCAAACCTTGGGTGGGAATATGTCGTTTACTCTTTTAGGACATATATTTCCTTGTAAAATGACCAAAATGTTCCCTATTTATTGAGATTTTTTTCAAAATGAAATTGTTAAGCCAGATTTATTGGCTTTAGTTAACTTTTATCGTCTTATAATAGTTTTTCCTAAATTGTAGAAGGATATCGATAAAGCCAGATTCATCCACATTATTTTTATACGTTCAATGAATTATATAAGTTTTAATGGTATTTTTATATAGAATAAACATTAATTGTAATCATAAATTTCATCAAAATTTTCTTATTATTTTCCCAAAGCCTTGAAAATGAATTTTCGACAAAATACTTCACTTGTATATCTTTATATTTTAAATTTGGTCATAGTATATCACTTAGCGTTTGGTCTAGGGAATGTTAGATTACTAGAAAGTTATATTACCTTGAAGATTACTGGGAATTTTTAGGAAAATGTGTTTGGTTAGTTATAATAAATTGGTAAATATGTTATATTAATATGTTTGGTTGAGAGGAATAAATTGATGGGTATTTTATTTAAATTACTAAATTGCCCTCTTTTTAAATTTAATATAATATTATTTTTATTATTAATTTTTGAATAATTTTTTTAACCCCCAATATTTCAAATTTAGTTAAAACATCCGCGCTTATATAGAATTTTAATTTATAACAAAATCACCCACACCACCCCAAGATACTGTCATTCACCATTGGCAGTCACTGGAAGTCGCCTGGAGTTGCTGTGAGTAGCTGAGAGACACCAAGAGGCTCCGATATGACCGTTTCTGGCTATATTGATGGCAAAAAATGTCATATTGGCCAGATCTATTTTGGTAATTTCCAGTTAGATTGATGGATTTGGCCACTAACAACTAGATCTATGACCTTTAACAGCCAGATCCATGGCCTTTAACGGCCATATCTAGGTGAAATATGGTCGTTAACGGCCAGATCTATTCCAACATAATCTATAGTTGTTAACGACCATATCTCATCCAGATATGGCTGATAAAAGCCATGGATTTGGTCGAAAACGGACATATCAGAGCCTCCAGGTGATGGTGGACAACTCACGGTGACTTCCAGCTTCTTTTGGTGACTTCCAGTGGCGATCGACGATGGTTTGGTTTGGTTGGGGTGTTAGCTTGGGTGAGTTACAATTTGTTTTGAGTTCAAGGGTAATTTTGTTCAAAAAATTAATTAATTAGGATGAAATAGTAAAAGCTATACTTATATAAATTAATTTTAAAATAAAAATTTTATTATCTTAAAATTTTATTAATAAAAAATAGAATTATAACAAAAATAAGATTAAGATTATATTAATAATCTTATCATATTTAAGAAAATAAAAGTTATTAAATTACCTTAAATATTACTAATAATAATTATTATTTGTATTAAATGATTATTAAAATCTAATATCACTTAATAACAATAAAACGTTGTAATCAACTAATATAAAAACTTTAGAGTAAACGACATATTCCCACCCAAGGTTTGACGAAATCCCAGGTGAGTACCACAGGTTCCATTTATTCCAGATTCTCACCCTTAAAGTAACAGTGTTATGAACTTTTAGGGTTTAGGACGTGCAATTACCATAATGCCCCTAACCCTAAATTAATAAATTATTTTTAACCCCTAATTTATTAGAATTATAACTTACCATTTTATTTTCAAATTATATCAAAAACACCCCCGGTCATTACACACCCTCATCGGAAACAGCCCGATCTGGGCTGTTTCTGACGACATCGAATGTCCTGGTCACTCCATCACCTTCCCCGTATTCCATCGTCCAAAACCCCTCTCATTCCCTACTCATTTGCCCCTCCAATCGCCGGCACCGTTAGACTTAGGGTTTTGATGTTCTTCACTGGATTCCGGTCGATTCCGGCGGTGAAAATCCAATTGGACACCACCAATGAAACCACCGTATCCAGATCTATAAAATCCCCATGTCCCCAGCAGCCGTCTCGTCGTCATTCGCCGGCCGAGAGTTTGTGTTCTTTGGCCGTTTTTCGATGAAGCGGTGGACGGCAAACGGTGAGCTGTTGTGGCTGGAAACGTTAGGGGTTTTGTAGGCGAGGGTTGGAGGAGTCAAATGGTGGTGACAAGGGTGATTTTGGGTGAAAAAATCGCCGGAAAAAAGAGCGAAAAAGTTTACCGGCGGTGGTCTGCTAACTTGCGCCGCCCATGTAAAATGACCAATTTTCCCCTTTATCGTTATATCAAACGTTTTTCCGTCACTTTAAGGGTGGGAATCTGGAATAAATTGAACCTGTGGTACTCACTTGAGATTTCGTCAAACCTTGGGTGGCAATATGTCGTTTACTCAAAACTTTATAATGTCATATAACCCCGGACAAAACGCCTCTTAGTTTTAACGCTACTGAAACACGTCACGTGCAAGATTTTGTCTAATAAATAATAATTAAAAAGAATTTACAGGCTGGCAATCTACGGAGCGTCATGTCCACCAATCAAAATAGACTACGTGTTTTCTCTCTTCCCTATATAAATCGATTTCCCCCTGCTTAGGCTGGGAGTCTAGCGTCTTCGCAACAAGAAAAAGAAGTAAGGATTGTCATTCTGAAAATGAGTTCAACAGGATCAACGAAAGGTGGCAGAGGCAAGCCCAAGTCCTCAAAATCCGTGTCCAGATCTCAAAAGGCCGGTCTCCAGTTTCCTGTCGGCCGTATTGCTCGTTTCCTTAAAGCTGGAAAGTACGCCGATCGTGTCGGTGCCGGTGCTCCCGTCTACTTGTCGGCCGTTCTTGAATACCTTGCCGCTGAGGTTAGTTTCTGTTTCATTTTGTTCTTATATATCTTTGATTGTTTTGAAAAATGTTATAGAAAATGGTGGTCTTTTTTAATGTTGGGATTTTATTGTTTGGGGGATGTTTATATTTTTTATTTTCGTTTTTTTTTCTTCGCATTGTGGGATCGTAGGAATTGGTTGCCTATGCCATTCGCCAGTTTTCGATCTTGGTTTGCTTTTTTCTATGAGAAGAAAATGGAGAAGCCGTAATTGAAAATACTCCACCGGAGCTTTGATTTTACAACGTAGAAATTCGGTTCTGGAAACTTTTTTAGTTTTTAGTTTTTTTAAAATTGAATTCTTAATACTTTAATGATTACAAACGAAGGGAAATCGAAATTATAACAGCTTTTTTGTTAGAATAATTAACAACTTGAAACGTTCTTTTAAAGTTATGGTCTGATTCATGTTTCGTCCATATCAGGTTCTCGAGCTTGCTGGTAATGCTGCAAGGGATAACAAGAAGAATCGTATTGTCCCGAGGCACATTCAACTTGCTGTGAGGAATGATGAGGAATTGAGCAAGCTTTTGGGCACTGTCACCATTGCAAATGGAGGTGTTTTACCGAACATTCATCAGACTTTGCTACCCAAAAAGACGGGGAAAGGAAGAGACGATGTTGGTGCTTCNCCGGTCGATTCCGGCGGTGAAAATCCAATTGGACACCACCAATGAAACCACCGTATCCAGATCTATAAAATCCCCATGTCCCCAGCAGCCGTCTCGTCGTCATTCGCCGGCCGAGAGTTTGTGTTCTTTGGCCGTTTTTCGATGAAGCGGTGGACGGCAAACGGTGAGCTGTTGTGGCTGGAAACGTTAGGGGTTTTGTAGGCGAGGGTTGGAGGAGTCAAATGGTGGTGACAAGGGTGATTTTGGGTGAAAAAATCGCCGGAAAAAAGAGCGAAAAAGTTTACCGGCGGTGGTCTGCTAACTTGCGCCGCCCATGTAAAATGACCAATTTTCCCCTTTATCGTTATATCAAACGTTTTTCCGTCACTTTAAGGGTGGGAATCTGGAATAAATTGAACCTGTGGTACTCACTTGAGATTTCGTCAAACCTTGGGTGGCAATATGTCGTTTACTCAAAACTTTATAATGTCATATAACCCCGGACAAAACGCCTCTTAGTTTTAACGCTACTGAAACACGTCACGTGCAAGATTTTGTCTAATAAATAATAATTAAAAAGAATTTACAGGCTGGCAATCTACGGAGCGTCATGTCCACCAATCAAAATAGACTACGTGTTTTCTCTCTTCCCTATATAAATCGATTTCCCCCTGCTTAGGCTGGGAGTCTAGCGTCTTCGCAACAAGAAAAAGAAGTAAGGATTGTCATTCTGAAAATGAGTTCAACAGGATCAACGAAAGGTGGCAGAGGCAAGCCCAAGTCCTCAAAATCCGTGTCCAGATCTCAAAAGGCCGGTCTCCAGTTTCCTGTCGGCCGTATTGCTCGTTTCCTTAAAGCTGGAAAGTACGCCGATCGTGTCGGTGCCGGTGCTCCCGTCTACTTGTCGGCCGTTCTTGAATACCTTGCCGCTGAGGTTAGTTTCTGTTTCATTTTGTTCTTATATATCTTTGATTGTTTTGAAAAATGTTATAGAAAATGGTGGTCTTTTTTAATGTTGGGATTTTATTGTTTGGGGGATGTTTATATTTTTTATTTTCGTTTTTTTTTCTTCGCATTGTGGGATCGTAGGAATTGGTTGCCTATGCCATTCGCCAGTTTTCGATCTTGGTTTGCTTTTTTCTATGAGAAGAAAATGGAGAAGCCGTAATTGAAAATACTCCACCGGAGCTTTGATTTTACAACGTAGAAATTCGGTTCTGGAAACTTTTTTAGTTTTTAGTTTTTTTAAAATTGAATTCTTAATACTTTAATGATTACAAACGAAGGGAAATCGAAATTATAACAGCTTTTTTGTTAGAATAATTAACAACTTGAAACGTTCTTTTAAAGTTATGGTCTGATTCATGTTTCGTCCATATCAGGTTCTCGAGCTTGCTGGTAATGCTGCAAGGGATAACAAGAAGAATCGTATTGTCCCGAGGCACATTCAACTTGCTGTGAGGAATGATGAGGAATTGAGCAAGCTTTTGGGCACTGTCACCATTGCAAATGGAGGTGTTTTACCGAACATTCATCAGACTTTGCTACCCAAAAAGACGGGGAAAGGAAGAGACGATGTTGGTGCTTCACAAGAATTTTAAAGTGTTAATGGTTTTGAATTCTAATATGGTAAATTGTAGGATCAATTGTATCTTTATTGCAAAGTTTTGATCGGTTTGATTACTATAAACCCTGATTTTGGGTATTTTTTGGCCTCAATTTTGCTGAAACAATAACTTTGTTATGTGATGTTGCTATTCATACCATCAATGAAATGAAAAGCTTACGAAGTTTTGTGTTTTCGGTTATATAGCTTTATTCGTGCGAATAATTTGATGAGAGCTTGCGTTTGCTTGCCATACATTGCCTTTGGGAAAGTACAATGAAGCACTTCCAGTTCTCCATTGTTGTCTGTGGTGTTTTTAGAAGTTTGGCCATGCTTTCCATTGATTGGCATAGTTGTTGAAGCTCTTTGACAGGGTTGTACCCTCAATTTTAACACTCAAAATCGTTCAATTTCATGGCATTTTTCTGTGATTGGGACTTGCGTAACCTTGAACAACTTTATCACTGCAATTTTTTGATCAAGTACAACGAGTCTGAGCATTGGGTATTCTAAATACCTTGGCTTATTACTACACGATTTATATTTTATATGTAGATAGTGATTTCATGAGGGGATGTAGCTCAAATGGTAGAGCGCTCGCTTTGCATGCGAGAGGTACAGGGTTCGATCCCCTGCATCTCCAAGTTGCTTTTAATTTCTCTTCGAGTTGAACGCGAAGTACTTTATCTAATTTTTTTTTCTAAACTTTTTCAGTGGCGGTTCTCCTAGCCCTAGGCTCTTTCTTATCCATTTTTTCCGACAAAACGGGAAGTACTTTCAGCGGTGGTTCTCCTAGGCAATGTCGGTCCCTCTGGTTCAGCTTGCTCCGAATTTGACTGTTTCGAAGCTTTGCTTTGGTTAGATTTCGTCGCTTTGGCTGTTACTCTCACAATGTTATCTCCAACCAATCATATCTACTACGAACACTGTTTTGTTTTCTTACAGGAACCATGACTTTCGGTGAGCAAAACTCGGCGTCTCAGTCATTTCACCTTCTTGACCAAGCTTTCGATGCCGGAATCAACTTCTTCGACTCTGCCGAGATGTACGTACCCTATGTTGGAATTTCAAATTCCTCCTAAAACATATTTATTTGGTGATTTTATTGGGAACTTTGCAACTACAGGTATCCAGTGCCACAGCGTGCTGAGAGTCAGGGCAGGAGTGAGGAGTATTTTGGCCGTTGGTTTAGAGAGAGGAAGATACCTCGTGATCAAATTGTCTTTGCCTCAAAGGTTAACTCTGAAAATTTTGTTTGTTATTTGGTTGTTTTATCTTACACTCTTTCGTTTTCAAGTTTCTCATGCGACTTTTAGTATAGTCGACTAACTCATTTGCTTTGTACAAAAAACAAATAGCATATAGTTCACAAATATACGTGCATCAAGATGTAAATTGTAGATATTGACTAGAATGGTTTTGCTAGAATTGTTGAGATTCAATAACTATATTGTTTGTTTTAGGAGCACCCTTTTTTTGGCTCATATTATCTGAAATTCTCTCAGGTATCATTACTTTTGTTATGATTCTGCGTTTGAATTATCAGAAATGTTGAGAATTATGATGCTGTTTTGCGTTTTTGCTTTGATTTCATGGAACTTCTTTAACACTGCAAACCAAGTCAGTTTGAGGCTATTATGAATTTGAATTTTCTGTATGAATTAATTTCCATCATTTGTAGTCTTTACTAAGCATTCAAATTGAATGGATCATATTATGCGTCCAGGTTAGTGGACCTTCTGGGCAGATGACTTGGATTCGTGGTGGGCCAGAGTGTTTGGATGCTAGGAATATTACAGAGGCCATTGACAATAGGTCGATTTTAATGTGCTTTTGTTGCCATACGATTAGCTGATTTTGATGCATTTTAGTTGTGTCATAATCATTTGAACTACAAAATTGGGACTTTGTTTGTTACTGCTCAAAACTTCTTTCTTTGTTCGTCTTATTGTTTCTATTAACATAACTTATCAAATCATTTTGAATTCATTCAAAGTACACTTATTCATAACTTATCAATCATTTTGAATTCGTTCAAAGTAGACTTATTTGGGAATTTCAATGACGGTTCCCAAATAATCTGAACATTCTTCTTCTCCACTTGAAAATTCAAATGGTGCATGTACCTATAGTATACAACACTTCATGTCCCGTAGTGGGAAAAGTCTCAGAATTTAAGTTCTGATTTTATTATTGTTATTTGGAGCATTGCCTTAATATGTTTGTGAAAATTTCTGTACAAAGAGAATTAGGGAGCATTTTCTATTATACTTGAACAATTTGTATATATCTGCAATTTGGATTTTTTGTTTAATTGACGCAGTTTGGAGAGAACTCAAATGGATTACATTGATCTTTATCAAATTCATTGGCCTGATCGGTTTGTATGTCTATCTTACATTTACTTTCAAAGTTTTCCTTCTTCCTCTTACACTCTCTCTTTTCTTTCTTTCTTTTGTTTTTTTGGTTTTTTTTTTTTTTTTTTTTTTTTGGGAGGGGGTGGGAACGGGGGCGAGCGACACATGACATATCATAACTTTGCAATTTCTTTTCCTTGAACGTGAACCAATTATTGTTTGGTAAATCATGGCTTGTTTCTGTAGATATGTTCCCATGTTTGGAGAAACTCAGTATGATCCAACCAAACAGTATACTTCAATTGGTGTAGAAGAACAACTTGTTGCCCTTGCCAAAGCTGTTGATGCTGGTAAGGTAATTGATGATATCAGTTTGGCTTAATTGTTGTACTCTTGCTAAGGCCATATATAGTAAAATGAATTATTTCCTGTTTAAAGATCAGGTATATTGGACTGAGCAATGAAACTCCATATGGAGTCATGATGTTTCTCCGGTTTGCTGAAAAGGTTCCCCATTACCCAAAAATATTATCTGTGCAGGTTGTATGGGTCATTCTTGCTCCTCTTAGTGAGGCTTTCTCTGCCTTTTCTCCTTCATCTCCATTTTCTCTCTTTCACTCCAGGGCTGATATGACTCATTTTTCTGTACAATAGAACTCCTACAACCTACTTTGCCGAACTTTTGATTCTGGACTAGCTGAATGCTGTCATCATGAGAGGTATGTCATTCATTTACATTCAGTTGAAATGATATATGTACCTGTAACCTGACTTATTGGAATTCGTTTTTGAGGTTTTTGTCCTATATTTCTCCTCTCTCATGAATTTTCCTTTTCAACATTATTGAATTTTTTAGGATCTGGTTGTTGGCCTACAGCCCTCTAGCAATGGGCATACTTTCTGGGAAATACTTTTCACCTGATGGGGGTCCAGCAGATGCTCGGTTGAATCTTTTTAAAGGTTAATTTGCAATTGTTTGGTTAATTTTTAGGTATTGATGATGTAAATGGTAATTGAACAACATTTTTCAGTTAAGCTTTTGGCTCACTTAACATTCTCAGGGAAGTATTTGGAAGGGGAATCCCGATACAATCTGTCTAATAGCATGGTAAAAGCAGCTACCATGGTAAGTGGGCTTCTCTCAGTTTTGAAGTTTATCAATATCTTGAGACGGTAGTTTTGATAGATTGCAGGAGCCAAGAAGGGGGAACTTTAATATATCTAAGTTGCAGAATCAAATTCATTAAGAAACTTGAATAATCTGACCAGAAAAATTACTCTTCCTTTTCAGTGTTTATCTTTACCTTTTTACCTAGTAGCTGGAGAATGCTCTTTTACTCACTATTTTCACTTTCTATCAATCTGATTTTATTAGTGATGGAGCATACACTATTGCCTCTTCTGATATGGGGAACAATGTGAAGAAAAAATTTCTAAACTTGATTGTGTATGTTTGTGTGCGAGATGTATTTGGCTTGCAGTTTTAAGGTTCCATTCTTAAGTGGGTACAAAATATTATCGCATTGGTCAGGAAAACTTTTGAGTAGAGACGGGTGGGGTTCCCTTGGGAAGGATGCCTTGTGTGGTCTAGTCATCTTTGTTACTGTCTGTTTCACTGTACTATGACTAATCAAACCCTTTGATCTTTTTTGCAGGAGTATCTTGATGTTGCTAGAAGATATGGTCTTCATCCCGTATCTCTTGCAATTGGTATAACCTCTCTCTCTCTCTATGTATTTGTGTGTGAGTGTGCTGTCTTGAAAATGTTGATGGTGATTTATCTCTGTAACCTTTTTTTTATTTTTGTGTCTCATGTTTAAAATAGTTTCTTGCTAAAAGCTGTTACATTCATTGTTGATATATGAAATATTCAATTATGAGCTTCTGTCTGCTGTCTAATGCAATAGATGATTTATTATTGAGTATCTATTCTTTAATGTGTGCAGTCTCATACTCATGGGTTGTATTGAGATAGTGGAAACTTTTGCCCATACCCAGATGCTCATGAATATTTTGCCACCCAAGTTCATAGGGGGTAGTTAGAGGTTTAAGTTATTAAGGGTAGAACTGAGAGAGGGTTTTAAAAGATAGAATTGCATATAGTCTGGAATTGGATACCATAATCAGGTTTTCTTTGTTCTCTCTGATTCTTTTCCTTCTGGTTTTCATTTTTTTGATTCCTGAAAGAATGTACTACAAGCCAATTTGATCTACAATTATCTCAGTCATGTATCATGGGGTGCTAGGGTCTGGATTTTATCATTTAAATTAACAAGTAACAAAATTGAAGCAGAAAAATGGAGAGTCCATGAGCCTGGTTTGCCAAAGAATTGTTTTGAAGAACAATTTTAACCATGCTAGTAAATGAGGTTTTATGTCTGCTTTTAGTTGAATACTATGTAACTTTTCTCTTATTTGAAGCCATATACAAATGGATATCACTAATTTTAATTACAGGTTTCAAGAAATGTATGCTCATAGGCCTGTGTATCTTTACTGTGGAAGACTTGTCATGTGTTCTTCTACTTAATGCCCTTGAGTAGCTGTTTTCTTGGTTTGGATTTTACATTTGTTTCATCTTGTGATTTTTCACGGGGCAGCATTTGTTTTGAGACACCCTCTTGTTGCAAGTGCTGTATTTGGAGCTACCAAGTCAAGCCAGCTTCAGGAGGTTATAAATGCATGCCAGGTTGAGCTCACAGCCGAAATTGTCGCAGAAATCAATGGAATCCATGCAAGGTTTCCTAATCCGTGTCCCTGATTGATTTCCTTGTATAGACTTGTGTACTTGTATTGATGAAAAGCACAAGGCAACTCCCTTGGAAGAAAGCATGGATAGAAAAGAAGTATCTGAGTGATTTTGAAAATTTTGAGCATGCATTGAATCTTGATTGTTATTCATGTAACAAGAGATAAAATGATTATTATGAAAATGAAGCAGCCGCTGCATGCGCGTGGGTTGTCATGTCATAGTGTTGTTTCATTGGAGTGGATTTGTTGAAGGTATGGTGATGGGCCAGTGGAGCGTAGGCCTTAAAACAGGCAGTGCACTGTTACATAATTTAATTGGTTTGAATGATGAATGAGCACAGGTCAGGTCAGATTATCTCATGCACTTTCTAAGAAATGCAAAGAGAATGTTTTTTGGTCTGGAGAAGGACAAAGAGCTAGTTTTGTCAAAGACGTAATATAACAAATGCATATGTAATTCCAACTGCGTTCAATTGGGGTTATCGACCATCCTATGAAAACGTGTTCTTAAAAGTCAACATTGAAACTAATGCCAATGGATTGCCATTCTTATTGAAAATGGTCAAGAATTTGAGATTCAAATTATGAATGAAAGCTCTTGTTCTTTCAATAGTAACCTTAACTCGCATTAAAAGATTACCTCTCTAAATAAATGACTAACGAGGACATGGTTTAAGAAGACACTCATTGGAGGTGGTGGTAGCCAGCTGCTTCCACTTTATAAGAACTCCGGTATGATTTTTAACCTTTAATTAAACTTTTATCGGCCAGCTTTAGATGCCTAATAATGATTTCAGTGAAGGCAATTAGCCAGGTCCAGGTTCAGGACCAAGTCCAAGTCCAAGTCCGATTCCATTTTCAAAATAAATGTTTAAAAATCTTCAAAGGTGAGGAAAAGGTGGAAATGCATGATGACATTTTATAAATGGCTTTTTTTCTTTTTGGTCGAAAATGGCCCCTTTTCGTTTCACAAAAGGCAAAAGGCTGGCATGAGTAGTTACAGTACACTTCAACATTAAATTTAATCCACACCACACCACACCAATTATATAGGGGATTGATTTTGTATGTAACGGTTGACTCTTTAAAGTTACAACTCCAAAACACAAACCAGCAAAGCACTTGTAACTTTAGACTCACCCCACCACCACCCTCCATTTCCTTTCCTCCTCTCTCTCTCTCTCTGTCGCTCTTCCACTGCACCAAGCTCTACCTCTCTTCCTTTCTCCAAATCATAGTCAAAATCACGGCCTCACCACCATACTCTCTCTATTTTTTTATTTATTTATTTAAATTATTAAAAAGAGACAATTAGAGGAAAAGGAGAGGGTCCGGAGCCTTTGCCCGGGCCCGTCCACCACCACTGCTACCAACAACATTACTGTCGTATTCCGATCTTTTAGGGTTCAATTTTTTAAATTCTTTCATTCTTTAGAATTGTCTCCATGTCTATGAACTCCAAGCCTTGGCTACATCCGGCTCCCACCTACCGGGCCTTAGAGACCTATTGGGATACGGAGGAGGATGCACCTGGTCCCCGATGCGGTCACACTCTTACTGCCGTTGCTGCCACCAAGACTACTGGTCCTCGTCTTATTCTCTTTGGTGGCGCCACTGCTATTGAGGGCGGAGCTGCCTCCTCTGCTCCCGGCATCAGTTATCATCATTCTTTCCTTCTTTCTCCAATTCAATCTTCTTTAATTGAACTCAATTTTATTTATTTTTTTTTAAAATTTTGTTGTAGGATTGGCTGGCGTCACCAATTCAGTTCATTCCTATGACGTTCTTACCAGAAAATGGACCAGGTTAGTGTATTATCTTCTATGTTAATTTCAATTTTTGTATTCAATTGACTTTTGATTAACATTTCAGCTGTTATTTTCTTTGTGCTGCAGAATTAGACCTGCTGGTGAACCGCCATCTCCTAGGGCTGCACACGCTGCAGCTGCCGTTGGTACAATGGTGGTTTTTCAGGTAATTACTGGGAAATTATTATTGTTAGAAGATTCTTTTAATATTAGTAACTCAATATTTTCATGGATGTTGGTGTGTCGTTAGGGCGGCATAGGTCCTGCTGGTCATTCCACTGATGATCTTTATGTGCTTGATTTGACTAATGACAAATTCAAATGGCACAGGTCATTTCTTGTTGCCTATTTTTATTTTCCCTTTTAACAGTCATTTTTGCTGTTTTATGAATGCTGATCTGATTGCTGTTTAATTTGAGTGTAGAGTGGTGGTACAAGGACAAGGTCCTGGGCCTCGCTATGGCCATGTAATGGATTTGGTTGGCCAAAGATATCTTGTTACTGTCAGTGGCAATGATGGTGAAACATTTTGCTCTTCTTTTTTTATCTTTGTCCATGTGTTTCTTTTAATCATTTTGTGTTGCTGAAGCTATGGTCTGATAGCTTGAGTGATCAGAAAAAAGATAATAACATTTAGTATGTTATTTCAGTCTTTTGTAGTTCACATTGTTGAATTCTATTGTCTTTGAATCGTAATTAATGTAATTGATGTCATCTAGCCAGAAAAATGGATTATGATTGGTTTTCCTGATTTTGTGTATTCAATATTTTATTTTTTGCAGGCAAAAGAGTACTCTCTGATGCTTGGGCTTTGGATACTGCCCAGAAACCATATGCATGGCAGAGGCTGAGCCCGGAAGGTGATAGACCTTCTGCTAGAATGTGAGTCTCTAGTTGAAAAACAATTACATAAATACTAATCCCTATACTATTTCAACAATCTTCATTCTAACATCCTACAACATTTCTTTGCAGGTATGCTACTGCTAGTGCTCGCTCTGATGGCATGTTTTTGCTTTGTGGTGGAAGGGACTCATCTGGTGCGGTATGGTATTTTTTTTTCTTTAGGAGAAATAAAGCAGTCAATTGATATGTTGTATGCATGCATAACTCTGGGTTTTAGTTCAAATTGAATTATGATTCATGCATCCTGATGGGAGTAAAATATAATATTTACAAACACAAAAAAGTGCTGTTAGATTAACATAGTCACAATAAAGAATGATATTATATTGCTAATCTTGTGCAATACTGATGCACAAGAGTCGGAATTCTTATTCCAAATCCGGCTTTTCTGGAGCTTACTTTAGGAATTAGAAGTCTTTTCTTAAGTATTATATAAGTTTAGTCTATCCACTGCAGTAAACATATTAGTTTAAGTAGTTCCTTACTGTTGTTTCTTCCCCAGTTTATTTTTTGTCTTTCTATTTTCTTTAGGGAATTTTGAAGTTCCAGTTTACTAGTTGCTTTTGCTCAGTAACTTTTATTTATAACTTTTATTTATACCCCTTGGACATGCATTCCAGAATGGATCTGTACCAGGAATCATGTAGAAGCACCACTTGTCCCACATTAAAGCTACATTGCTTTCAAAGCTCATACAAACTTCATCTTTTATATGCTTATCAGAAGAAATAAATTTCAAACTACTATGGCAAGTTTGAAGAGGGGGAATGATATTTTTATTGAACGGGAAACTCACAGAGAAACTTAGCTTAAATGGATTTAAAAGAAGTGAAATGAGAATGTACATTAAAGAATTGAAGAAAAATGTTAAAATTTCTGTAAAATTTGTATGGAAGGCTTTGAAAATATCATAGATGAATGTTGAAACACATATCTATGGCATCTCCTTAGCATGAGCAAGAAGTATATCTTTTAAGCAGTTCAACAATGTTCTTGTACTGGCAAGAAATATTTCTTGCTCTTAGCATTTCAAAATAATGTTTCCTTAGATTTTGCAAGTTGTCACTTTCAGCTAAAGATTCAAAATACATCTCTTGTTTTAATGAACCTAATGTTACAGATATCCATTGAAGTAACTTATTTATCTTAAGCTACAATTGGTGATAGGCAACCATGCTGTCGTGTAATCTAATTCCATGTCAAGATTTGTATTGAGAAGCTTTCTATTGAGTTTATTGATTACTTTTAATCTTCCACAGCCACTGGCAGATGCTTATGGGCTGCTCATGCATAGGAACGGTCAATGGGAGTGGACTCTAGCTCCTGGTGTGTCTCCTTCGCCAAGATATCAACATGCTGCGGTAAGGGATGATTATTATGGAGTCCACTATACCACATTGTTTGTTGCAAATTCTAATAAAATTTTCTCAGGAGACTGCATTTTATTTTAAAGCAGTGATTTAGTTTGGAAAGATGGTATTGTCAGTTTGCGTAACTGTCTCGTAATCAGTTCTTTACTTTGATCCTTTTCCTATCATGGACCTGGCATTGTTTGCTGTTAGGTTTTTGTTGGTGCAAGATTGCATGTTACAGGAGGTGCTCTTAGAGGGGGACGTTCAGTAGAAGGCGAAGCAGCTGTTGCTGGTAATTTTTGTTTTTGTATTTTCTGTCATTATGAAATTAATTGTAACATAACTCTTTGTTTTGTCATTTTTACTTTTTGTTTTTTGTTTCTTATTCCCCAATGTTATCTCTATTTGGTAGTGTTGGACACTGCTGCTGGAGTTTGGTTGGATAGAAATGGACTTGTGACTTCCTCACGTACCAGCAAGGGACATACTGAACATGAGCCTTCTTTGGAACTTATGCGTCGCTGCCGTCATGCATCTGCATCTGTTGGAGTTCGCATATATATTTATGGTGGTCTCAAAGGAGGTAAAGATTCTGAATTGGAACTGAAAACGGGAAGACTATAAAAACATTATTTAACATATTTTTATTATATGGTTGGACCTTTGGTACCGAATCTAGATTTTTGATAGAAACAAAAGTTGCAATTTCAGTAATGAAGGCTCATTGGAAATTTTAATTCTTCTGGTAGATTTTCCACTTAGTAATGATAGGTATTAGGCTTTAACTTTCACTTACAAGTTATCCCTGTAATTAGGTAGTTTCAAGTCACAGTTTTTGATCTGGGTAAGGGTAATTAAATTTCTACACGCTTTTAACAGTAGATGAATTCATATCAACTCTGCAAAGAAATGAGAATTTGGATCTTTGATTGCTGTGACCATGTATTCAGCTTTTTAAAGTTGTTTATGTAATACAAAGGTTTAAGTTTGTCTATATTGTAATATTACATTTTGTCAACTGTTTTCTTTTACTTGTTTTGTAACATAACTGCTTTTATCTATGCAGATATTCTGCTAGATGACTTTTTGGTTGCAGAAAATTCGCCATTTCAGTCTGACAGTAATTCTCCTATATTAACATCCGAGAGGTCTCCAACCATAACTATTCCCAAATTTAATCAATCTAATTTAAGTTCTTTTTCAACAATGACTTCAGACGGAGCAGAGAATCCTTCATCTGGAGGCCTGAGGTTTTGTTTTCACAACTCTCTCTGTTAAATGGGATTTTGACTCAGCTTAATTATCATAAGTCAGTATTGTGTATTTGTTTTAGCAGCATGGACAAGAATTCCATGGAGAAACTTAGGGAGGCTTCTGCTGCTGAAGCTGAGGCAGCTAATGCTGTCTGGCAGGCGGCACAGGCGGCATCTGCCAATCCTGCCGACGAAACATCCGTATCTGATGATAATTCACAAGCTGCTGAAACAATTTCAGATGGTAGTGACACTGAGGCAGATGTTCGCCTTCATCCTAGAGCTGTATGTCTTTTTCATCAATGTCTTATGTCCTGAGGGGTTTCCGGCAGACTCTAGTATCATAATGTTTCTTTTCTATAGGTTGTCGTTGCCAAAGAGGCTGTAGGGAATCTGGGTGGGATGGTAAGGCAGTTATCATTGGACCAGTTTGAAAATGAGAGCAGGCGAATGATGCCATCTAACGACCTGTCATATCCTACTAAAAAGTTCACCAGGCAGAGGTCTCCTCAGGGCTTGCATAAGAAGGCAAGTGTTACGAAAATTATCTTTGTTTTTTCGCTATGTATATATAATGGTTGTTAAAAATTTTTTGTTCTTGCAGATTATTTCTACATTGCTTAGGCCTCGAAACTGGAAAGCTCCTGCTAATAGGAGGTTTTTCTTGGATTCATATGAAGTGGGTGAGCTCTGTTATGCAGCTGAACAGATTTTTATGCATGAGCCCACAGTTCTGCAGTTGAAAGCACCGATTAAAGTTTTTGGTGATCTGCATGGACAGTTTGGTGATTTGATGCGGTTGTTTGATGAATATGGATTTCCTTCCACTGCAGGAGACATAACGTAAGTTTGCTATGGACCTCTTCCTTAGAATCACCTTGTCGTAGTAAGAATAAGTAATTTAGGAAATTAATTATAATTCAGGCTTGTTGATCCATTATTGAAAATTTGGGGTGAAAATTACAAAGAACCTTTTTGAGTCTAAAAGAGAAACCCAGTGGTCCGTATTGGGATTTCAATATTCTGAATCAAGGTGTTATATATTAATAATTCATACTTAATTTATAATGGAATTCCATTTAAAGATGTATCTGATGCAATATACCTACATTTGATATATAAATTAATTGATTTTAGTGCCATTCTTTTTTGTTGATCAAAGTTCAAACTACTGGGTTTCAATCTAGAACGTTGGAGGTGTGCCTTGAAATCTAAAAATTTCTTATTGATAAATTAAATTTTAAAATTGGCTGTAGATTTTGCTAGTCTTCATTCATTGGAAGGGAAGACGTAAGATGATCTATGTGGGAGACATAAGGTTGAGAATGATGTGAAAAAGTAGAAAGTGAAGGTTTAAAAAAAGCAGGTAGAAAAGTCTAGATTAGGCTGAACTGGTAAAAAGTAATAAGCCTGGCTGCTTGATTGACATCTTTTTAAAATTTCCGCAATAATCATGTGGGAACTCTGATGAAAAGTTTGGAGTTGGTACTGTATGAGAGTGACAGGAGATCTAGGCTGGAAAGGCTTTGACTTATTTTATTTTATTTTATATATGTTTTATTGTAAGGCCCATTACTTATAAAATTAAATTTGCAAATATCTATGAAGTTGTAAGTTAATTTCACCTGCTGTCTATCTTGTAACTTGATTGCAAAATTTCGCTGGAAATGGTAGAGTTAAATTCTTTAAATTATTCTAATATAGTTACACTAATGGTATATAGCCTATACTGGGTCAGCTAGTGAATCTTTAGACCATGTCCTTGGATATAATCAATGAGATATGGGAAGATACTAATTCTTGATGCATGGAAAGTATGTTTGTGAATGGCATTATTTATGGACATGATGTATGAGAAGTTAATACCCTATGCTTGAAACTGCCCCATTTTTATGAATGACCTCATTATGGATGTGATGTACAACAAGTTAATACCCTATGCTTATGCTCCCCCATGTAAAAATCTAAGCCCATTGTTGTTTATAATTGATATTCTTCTGTCCAAATAGCTGTAGGACTGTGCTGTTTCCTTTTAAAAACCTGATTTTGGGTCTCTTATAGTGATTTGGGATGTGAATATAAAATCTAAACTGTGCATGAAGGGAGATGGATGTGACGGGGGCTTCCTTGCACTAAATATATTTGAAAGTGTCCTTTGAATATGCTACTCTAGAACCAGCTTCCTTCTGCATCCTTCAGTCTTGATCCACGTGGAAGTTATATTTCTTCTTGTTGGTCTCGTGGCTATAACACTTCTAGTTCTAGAGAAGTTTTCATAAAACCAGGGAAAATGAAAGAATTATTGCTTGAGGGCACTGGCCATTACCACTATTAAACAAGTTCCTTAATTTTCTCGGCAGTTGTTTCATCAGCAATCTATTTTATGTTTCAGGTATATTGACTATTTGTTTTTGGGAGATTATGTTGATCGAGGGCAGCACAGCTTGGAAACCATTACTTTGCTCCTTGCTCTAAAGGCATGCTTCTGCCTTGACTGTAGGCTGAATAATTTTTTAGTGGTTTTCTACTTGGAACATTGCTGATTTTATTCATTTGTATAATTACTTTTTGTCTGCAAAGACAAGTTTGGTGTGAAGTATAATTCTGGTCTGTTACCTAGTTGACTGTCTTGTCCTTTTTGTCATGATTTTGCAGATTGAGTATCCTGAGAATGTTCATTTGATACGTGGAAACCATGAGGCTGCTGACATAAATGCGCTGTTTGGTTTTCGTCTGGAATGCATTGAGAGAATGGTTTGGATTAGTATACATATGTTCATTTCACATCTTTGTCATGTGAAAGTTAAGATGCACTGATGAAATATGTATTTGCAGGGAGAGAATGATGGAATATGGGCATGGACACGCTTCAACCAACTTTTCAACTATCTTCCACTTGCGGCGCTTATTGAAAAGAAAATCATCTGTATGCATGGTGGCATAGGAAGATCTATACATTCAGTGGAGCAGATTGAGAAGCTCGAAAGACCCATAACTATGGATGCTGGATCTATAATTCTGATGGACCTTCTATGGTATGTTTTTTCCCATCTATCCCTCATTTTAGGTCAATCTCTGTTTGCTTCTATTTTTCTTAAACTGTTTTGTTTTGCTTTTTTTTTTTTTTTTTTTTAAAACAGGTCTGATCCAACAGAAAATGATAGCATAGAAGGTTTGAGACCAAATGCAAGAGGGCCTGGTCTGGTCACTTTTGGGGTAAGTTTGATTATTCAGTGTTTAAAAGCTGAATGGGGTATTGGTTACACAACTTCTATCTGTTAAAAAGGAATATATCAGTACGTTCCTCAAAATTTCTACATAAATAGAGTTTTACCTCTATGACTTGAAGCTGTTATAATTTATATAAAAGTATGCATCATGTACCATGTATTATTATCCATGCCAAAAACCTTAGCAAATAGAAGGCAACTCGAAACAAGGGATTCAAATGAGCCTATTACTTGTACTACTTTTCTAATTGCATAAAATAACCAAACTATTGAATGAGCCAATGACGATCAAAGTTGATTATATTTCTGGCCCTCACTTGTGAATTTTAATTTCAAAATGCTTTTGTAGATCATTAATCATTTTTGCGCACACCTGTGTTTAATTTAGTTCCAATGTTTTCAAATTCAACTGTTTGTTATTTTACTACTACATGTTTTATCAACGAACTTTTTTCTTTCCAGGATGCTTTTCATAATCATTTGCATGATCTTATTTTTCTTATTCTTTGAACTCTGACCTTACCTTGCTTTTATGTTGCAGCCTGATCGAGTTACGGAGTTCTGTAAGAAAAATAAATTACAACTTATTATTAGGGCACATGAATGTGTGATGGATGGATTTGAGCGATTTGCTCAGGGGCAATTAATTACTCTATTCTCCGCGACCAATTATTGCGGTAAGCATAATAGATTGGGCTTTCTCCACATCTTGTGCTAGCTTTTGCAACCTAATTGGGTATATGCATTCAGGAACTGCAAATAATGCTGGAGCTATATTGGTGGTGGGCAGGGGATTGGTTGTGGTTCCAAAATTGATTCATCCCTTGCCACCACCCCTTCAGTCACCTGAGACATCTCCAGAGCGAGCCATGGATGACACATGGATGCAGGTATAATACATGCATTTTGATGTTTTAACTATGAATTTTTTTGACTAACTTCATTCACGTTGTACAATGGTATGTCATTGTTGCCCTGCAGGAGCTCAACATTCAAAGACCACCAACTCCTACACGTGGTCGTCCACAGCCTGACCTTGACCGGAGCTCGCTTGCGTATATTTGATGATAGCCGACTGATTGTTGTAATTTATGGTACCTTCTTGTGTATTTCCTTCTTTGGCTGGCTTGATCATCAGTCCGTCGGAAGTCAAGCAGCATAGTGGCCACCTGCCAGGCAGGGACGAGGTATGGTGCCGTTGTTGTAATCTTTGAGATATAAGTTGCTGAACAGAAGCCTTTATTAGTGTACACATAGATTTAGAGTTTTTGGTAGAAGTTATAGCTTTCAACCAATTGAGTGTAATATATGTAAATTTTAGTCTGAAGTAGAGAATTTTCTGCTTCTGGACAGATCATATAGCAAGGGGAGGGGTTGGTTGGTCGTCCTCTGTATTGTAACGTAAATTCTGATTGATTTTTTTCTTTATAAGCTGATTAGTTAATGGTGTTATGGGTATGTCTTGTGATAATAATTTTGAAACCGATTTTCAATTTTGAGCTATTCTCAACTGCAGAACTTTTTTCTAAAATTGTTGTATGTCAGTATTGGGTTTGTTTCTCAAGATAATATAATTTTATGCTAACAAACAATATGGGTTAAGTCGTTTTGGCATGATCACGCTTTTAATTATGGTAAATAGTTGGATTCAGATCTGTTTTGAAAGAAATATAATGCAATGGGTCCAGAATCATCAGATCAAAGTCATCGGTTTTTAATGTCATTAAATTAAACGGATCATTTGAAAAATTATTGGTGACTTGTCCCATTAAAATTTGTTTTGGCATTGTCATCACTCATCACTCAAGAGTTTTCTGATACTTCTAAACAAAATTCTTAGTCTAAACAATTTAGATGGGAATAAATAGTCATAATTGCTACTTTTAATTAATGACAAATCCTCTACCTCCTCGGCCTAAATTGGTAAGGCACAATAGACAAAAATTGATGAGGAATCTTGAAACACAACATAACATTAAGGCATTGAAGCTGAAATAATAACAGCCTGCTGCGGCTGTACATACTTGTTAGAATTATTAGGATCACGAACCCAACTAATTTCACTCATATTTGGTGTCTCCACAAACACCATTGTAAACTCTCCTACTTTTTCTATTTTCCCTTTCTTGCCTGCTCTTAGCACCAGATTGTTGTGACGTGAGAATGAGAATATGCCATTAGTCAAGCGTACAATGTCACCTGCCTCAAACGCCTCACATTCATTTTGCCAGAACTGGAAGTTAACTGCAGCTGTCTCGTCGGCTACAACCCCCAAACAGGTTTTGTACTGCCCTTCCATTGTCGTTGTTTTGCTCTTGTCTAGGATTATGAACTGCGTGTTTATGTTATTTTGAGTTGATGGTGCTATATCTTTAAGAGATACCATACTTGTTTCTATTCTCTACTTACCTACAATAAAAACACAACTCCACTCGTTTCAAATTTCATTCGATCATTTCTACAAACATCTTGAGGAACAATTATTAATTAATCTCTAATCTCTGTTGGAAACATGGTGAAAAAAAAGCCCTTGTCCTTGCGGAGAATGGCTAAACAAAGAAATCAAAAAGATATTTGACACCAAACAAGTCTTTAATCCTTATAAATCTTAATCCTAATACGAAACTCATATCTGTACCAACAATGGTAGGAGCAATAATCATAAGTATGGTATGGCACTCGCGGAATCCATTTCAGAAGCAGGAGAAATAGTCATCTAAAAATGAACGAAGGAAGGGAAAACAGATGCATACTTTATACTTTTTGAAGAGAAAAACTAGAAAGAGAAGAGAAGGATGCTTACAGAGAATAGAAAGAAATCCGGATTTTGAGTTGCCTTTATTTTGTTTCCGGGAGTGTGCAGAGAGTCTTATCTGTTCGATTATTTTGTAAAAAAAGAAAAAAAAAGAAGAAGAAATAAGGGTTAGCATGGCAAGCAGGAAGTGAAGAAAGGGGAAGAAGACAGAGAGAGACATACGGTAGGTAATTTGGACGGCCTGGTGTTCGAATTTGCTCTGAAACGAATTTGTATAGCAGCATTTGCAATCAGAATTCGAGGTGCGCGCCTTCGCCTTATTGTTTAAGCGTGCAGTAACGAGAAAATATCCTGTTCAAACAATATTTATTTATTTATTTACTGTTTTCATCTGCGTCATTAAATAAGACATATCAAATCAAATTTGGAATGTTCCTTTTTAATGTATAAAAACAGACATATAAAAAATCACTTCAATAAATACTTGATAAAACTAAATAATTGACAAATAATAAAATAGTTATATACGATCAAGAGAAATTATAAAATACTTAGGCTAGTTTTCAATTCTCACCCCAATTTTTGGTCATTTTTTAATTTTTATAATTTCTCTAACATCAATGTGTTCAATAGTTCATTAATTTGGAAAGATAAAAAAAAAAAATATTTTGAAAATTATTAAAATAACTGCCTTGAGAATTCTTTAAAAAATATAAAAGACCATCCCACCTAATACTTGGGTAATTGATTACTGTTTTCCAGTATAAGATTTAACAAGTTCCCTTTTCCCTTTTGATCTCACTACTGTTCTGCTTAACAGTTAACACTTCTTAAGGCACGAATGAGTAAATGTTGCAAAAAATGATCTCACTAATCAATAAAATGAAAAACCAGAACAAAAGTTTAATTTATTGACAATCATAAACTTCATTATGTCAAAATCTAAATGAAAATTATCAAGTTTAATTAATTAATGATACCTTCCTAGTTCCTATAGTAGTACTTGGCCGCTCCTACCAAGCAATCTAGTATTATAGGTTAAAACCACTGTTATCTCATATTTTTCTGGTTTACTGTTTACAAGTAAGAATAAATATGGGGGGGAAAAAAAAAAAAACTTGGTGGTGCAATTGTTTTGAGTCTAAAAAGATGATTAAACTACCAGGGCTATACATCTTACAGATTTCAGCTAAAAAAAAAAAAACTACCTCCACAGCTATTTATAGCGTCAGATTTATGTTTCATCGAGTCCGCAAGTGATACATTTTGTTGCAATCCCACAAAACTTTGATTACCCCAAGCATTTCTTCAGTCTCACCGAATGTGGAACCTGTGTCTTCAAATGGGTATGGAAGCCTAGTCCATTTGTCAGCCTTTAGCTCAACCACATCCACAACACACGTCCCTGATTCCTCCAACTCTTTTCCGTACCATTTACCATACATCTGATTTACTATTCCCTTGCCAATCTCTTCTCCTTTCCCATCTAAAATCACAACATACTGACCTAGCTTGAACTCACCAGACTCTGGTATTGGAGATTGTCTAAATGTGCTTCGAGTGCCTCTTACATTTGATGGGAGATGATCTTCTCCAGGACTACCAGGTGAGTCATGTATTTGCCGGTGTCCTGCCACACCTTTTCCGGGAAAAGAAGTATCAGCCCCTAAAGGTGCACGAGCATCCTTACTTGCACGGGCTAACCTTGCTTTCCGATTATTCAACCTGTTGAAGATGCATATGTCATAAGTTTCAAAACGAGAACCCATCAAATTTATGAAGAGTGAGGACATATCAAGTTTCCCAAGTAAATCTCAAAGTTACACTCGTTAAGTATCTTACGACATTTTCAGCCTAACATCAATCACTCCAATTCTGAACTGTTAGACGGCTAAAAATTTCATTCATTTTCAGACAAAATCTCATACCTAAAGAGAAACCATTAACTAAAATGAAAATGAGGAGTCCTTACCAGTTTTTAAGCTGTGAAGCTGTAACCTCCGAACCCTGGAAAACACAATGTATGACCACTTATAAGTGGATATAAAACTAAATTACAGTATTCAAACAGTGTGAAGTGAGTGTTACGTACATAATGACTTAATTTATCAGCCCATGACCGAATTGAAACTGTATTTCGCTGCATGTCAGGTTCATCCAATAGGGCCCTCTCAATAAGCGATATTTGTTTATCATTCATTATAGTTCGTTTTCGTTTCCTCTGCTGTTTTTCTTCACCCTGAACACTTTCAACCTTTTCCACCTCTTGAACTCCTCCAAACCCACTTTCTTTGATTGGCTCATTTACTTTTGGAAACTCACCACTGTCCATTTGATCAACAAAATTCTTTCCTCCCATGGGACTTGTATCAGAACCACTACTAACAACAATCTGAACATCTCTGTCTTTCTCCCTCAAGCCTCCAGGCACACCTGATTTATCTTTATCTTCCTTGCTGTCTTGCCTCATTACATCATCCCCTTGATCCATAAGGTTGCTTCCAACATCAAATTTCTCCTCTTCCTGGAACGCAGAATTTTCTGACATTTCCTCTCTCAGATTACCGTTTGCATTATTAAGATTGGGAGGTTCTTTTCTTTGTAAAGGCGATGGGCATCCTCCTGTACTCTGCACCTCCTATCACAAGTCAAATGTTATCATTCAGGCGACTGGATTGGGTTAAAGATAAAGCTACACAACATTGTTATTCAGCTCAAAAAAGCAAAATTGAGAATTGACTATTTATCTCCCCTTGAGATATTTGAAATATCCCACACATACCACAGGAAAATGTAAGTAAGAATTGTGTAATTCTAAGTTAAAAAATTTTCACTTGATTTCTTGACGTAGCGGAAGAGTTGTGGGGCAATTAGATCTTCAACAATTAGGGCTAGAATAGGGTGATTGTGGTTAGAACAATAGAAATTAACTAGGTTTAGAGAAAACCTTTGAATTAAAATTCTTAATTAAAGAAAAGATGCAATAAATTGACTATGTTGTCCTATTTATACTAGTTAGGAAAATCTTAATTCTAGACTGAAACTATTCCCAATTTCTTATTAAATAGGAATCCTAAATAAAAAGGAAAACTGAGAAAATAACTGAAATTCTTTCCTAACTTAACTAAAAATGAAACCCTTTCCTAATTTAACTAAAATCCTAATTTAATTTGGATGCTCTTGCATCATTCTCCCCAGGTTAGAAAGAACTCGACCCCAACGAGTAAGCCTTGACATATTCCTCAAATACGGCTGGATCAACTTGTTTCAGCTCTTCTTCAGAAATCCATGTGCTTGCACTTGCTGGTTTACCAAGCCACTTTACCAAGAATCATCTATATGGGTTGCCTCGTCTAGATCGAATTTCTTTGACATCTAACACTTCTTCAATAACATCAGCCTTTGCAATTGGCAGGGCAGCTGCCGAATTTGGGCTTCAATCAAAGACGGAACACAATCGAATCCATAAAAAGGAAACAAGTCCGAAACATTAAAGACCAGACTAATTTGCATCTTAGGTGGAAGTTCAATTAAGTAGGCATTTGAACTAATTTTCCTCAACACCTTACAAGGTCCAAACTTCTTAGATTTCAGCTTGTGGTAAGTTCCTTTAGGAAATTGTTCTTGTCTCAAATGCACAAGAACTTGATCCCCTTCTTCAAATTCCTACGTACGGCGATGTTGATTGGCAGAAAAAGAGGATGTTGCATTACTAGCTTTTAGGGCAGCTCTTACCTCTTCATGAATTTTCCGAATGTGATTAACAAATGCTTCCCCTTCATCACTTACTCTAGCTTCTTGTGGCAAAGGGACCAAATCCAGCACATGTTGAGGCTTCAACCCATAAGCAGTCTCAAAAGGTGTCTTCTTTGTGCTTCTATTAACATAATTGTTACAGGCAAACTTAGGTTGAGGTATGACTGAATCCCAAGTCTTTGCATTGTTCCCAATAAGGCATCTTAATATATTTCCCAAACTACGATTTACAACTTCTGTTTGACCATCTGTTTGTGGGTGGCAGGTATTAGAATACTTCAATTCTGTCCCAAATTTCCTCCATAAAGTCCTCAAAAAATGCCCCATAAACTTTACGCCTCTGTCAGAGACAATAGAAGTTGGAATGCCATGTAGTCTTACAACCTCTCGAAAGAACAATTCGGCAATATGAGTTGCATTAGAGGTTTTAGAACATGGAATAAAGTGTGCCATTTTTGAGAAACGATCTACCACAACAAAGATAGAATCAAATCCTTTTGTTGTCTTTGGAAGTCCTTAAACAAAATCCATACTCAAATGAATCCATGGTGCATCTGGTTCAGGTAAAGGAGTATATAAACTTGTGTTTTGAGCACTTCCTTTGCCTAATAAACGAGCTGGGCATCTCTTCACTAATTTCTTCACATCTCTTTGCATTTTTCGCCAATAGTAACGGTCGACAACCATTGCAAAAGTTTTGTCCCTGCCGAAATGTCCTCCCAAACCATTTCCATAAAGTTCTCTAATAATTTGCTCCCTTAAAGACCCTTCTGGAATGCATAATTGGTTACCTTTGAACAAATAATCTTCATGCAATCTATACGGCAATTTTTCAGCTTGTGAGGAATCTTGCAAATCAGCTATTATCTTGCTGAAATAAGGATCAGAACCATATTGATTTTTTAGTTCCTCAAAACCTATGACTTGAGTGCTCATAATTGACAATAGTAAAGATCGCCTACTTAAGGCATCAGCCACGATATTAGACTGTCTAGACTAATACTTCAGCGAGAAATTAAATTCATCGAGGAAAGAACTCCACCTAACATGTCAATCATTAAGCTTTTTCTGAGATTGTAAATACCTCAAAGCTTGATGGTCAGAATAAACCACAAACTCTCGGTAAGCTAAATAGTGCTGCCAATGATGAATACAATAGATCTTACCAAAGCGTAGAACTCTAGGTCATAAGTCGAATAACGTCTCCTAGAATCCGACAACTTCTCACTGAAAAACTCTAGAGGCTTTCCATCTTGGCTAAGAACTACTCCAATTCTCACATGTGAAACATCACATTCAACAACAAATAACTTTTCAAAATTTGGTAGTGTAAGAACTGGTGCTTCAGTCATCAACACTTTCACTCGCTCAAAGGCTTTTTGTGCAGAATGG